TGGCATCCAGGTGTGAGAACATCCCTCAGTAACCAGAGCTGCAGCTAAGTGAAGCTTATTGTGTCCAAGACCCTGATCCTGTTCAGAGAAAGGAGGATTGCTGCCAGGAATGCTAATGAGAGCAGAGGAACAAAGCAACATACACTGCGATAACGCTTGCTTGTTGGAGAGACATTTGTTCTGTTCAGAGTCACCAGCGAATTCAAAGCAGACCCGGGTCGGTAAGATCGGGCACGCACCTCATTTCAGTGTTGGCGCCTAGAGACTGAGTCCAGGCCTATAGTTAGTTAGTTAGGGTCTTTGTTTGTGTCAGGCCACAAGTGTTATTACTGATCATTGGAAGGACTCCATAAGTTAAAGTGACATTTCACATTGGAGAGCTGATAACATCCCACAAACTCAAGCCAGACTGGCGTTTTGCTCAGAAGGAATACTCAGGCACGTGCTACAGGACCAGTTATGGGAGGGGGAATACTGTAGATTTGTGTAAGATTGTAAGCTGCACCGCAGGCTAGCCCATACCATACACCCATACACTGATTCCTGGTCTTTTAGGGTAATAACGGGTAAGGTGTGGCAGCTTAGTTGTGCCCGCCAATAGGTAAATTATTACACCTTCTACCTTCATCCATCAGGAGGCGCCATGCTGTGCAGCACAAGGGTCTCAGCCTTTGGGCTGGGTGTATGTACATTTATTGTATGTTTCCAGCATTTGTGGTTGTGTTTATTTGCCACATCTAAGTAAAATTCAGTTGTGACAAAAGCTGTTGGGGTTGTTTACCTCGTTCGTGACTTCAATGTATCCTGGGGAGCCCACCCCGGTATACGGCTTACAATAAGGATACACATGGGGGGGGGGGGGGGTTACTGAAACTGGCACAGCTGTGCATAGTAGCCAATTATGATCTTCTTGCAGAGATTGTAGCTGGGACATCTGTTGCTTCAAAGTATGATTGTCTTCCTCCAGTATATGTACATACTGCACCAGATCATCAGATTTGGTTTCTAGGTGATCTGTACGTTCTTCCACCAATGCTATCTCCCCTCTGAGTTCCTGTGCTATTTTCCCTACTGCCACAGATATAGTATGGGACAAACTTTGCAAAAGACAATGTAACTTATCATCCAGAATGTCTGCTGTAAGATAGGGGATAGGAGAAGGGGGAGATAGAGCAGTATGTGTTACCTCCGCCTCGCGACCTGTTGGATCATCCAGTTCTGCTGCTGGGATTGTGTGATCACTCGAGGCCGGGGATGTGGCTTGTGATGCATATTTTACATATGTGTAGGCTGCAATTGCTTGGCGGGCGATGGAGGGTATTTCTGATGCCTGAATTTGCCCATGGGGATCTGCAAGTGATGCTGCGTCTGGTACCCGTTCTCCTCTGCTGTAAATAGCTGATGTTAGCGCCAGAGGAGCTGGAAGAGAGAGCTGAGAAGCGAAGCAAGGTCAACATGCGACCACCATCTTCATCCTCCGCACATGTGCACCCGTGTGGTCAGTTTTTAATAGATAAGCAGATGGGCTGGCAGGATCATCAGGGATTTCACACAAAGGAGGCAATGCAAAGAGAACAGGATACTTTTCATACAAGTACATGGTACAGGAGGCACATATAAGGAATAGGAAATGTTGGGCTTGCATATTCTTTCAGTATTAGCATTTACTGAATATTGGTATCGGTTAAAGTGCTGTTCTAACCAAATTTTGTTTTTGTTTTTTTTGTTTTCTCTTATTTTGGATATGATAGGTAAATGGAACCCCTGTCGGGTTTTTTATTGCTGTCTGCTCAAAGCTAAAGTTTAATCTGTTTATATTTTGTCTTCTCTGGTTCCTCTGTTACTCCCTCATTACCATGCTAATTAAATTTTTAAATAAAGCCACTCGCAGTCTCCGCTTTAATTCATCCCAATGGTGTTTTATCAGGTTGAGGTCAGGACTCTGTGCAGACCAGTCAAGTTCCTCCACCCCAAACTCACTCATCCATGTCTTTATGGACCTTGCTTTGCGCACTGGTCATAAACAGGAAGAGGCCATCCCCAAACTGTTCCCACAAAGTTGGGAGCATGAAATAGTCCAAAATGTCTTGACCACTTAAGGGTTCCCTTCACTGGAACTAAGGGGTCAAGCCCAACTCCTGAAAAACAACCCCACACCATAATCCCCCCTCCACCAAACTTTACACTTGGCACAATGCAGTCAGGCAAGTACCGTTCTCTTGGCAACCGCCAAACTCAGACACGCCCATTGGATGACCAGACGGAGAAACGTTATTAGTCACTCCAGAGAACATGTCTCCACTGCTCTAAAGTCCAGTGGCGGCGTGCTTTACACCACTGCATCGGACGCTTTGCATTGCACTTGGTAATGTAAGGCTTGGCTGCAGCTGCTTGGCCATGGAAACCCATTCCATGAAGCTCTCTATGCATTGTTGTTGTGCTAATCTGAAGGCCACATGAAGTTTGGAGGTTTTTAGCTATTGACTCTGCAGACAGTTGGTGACTTCTGCGCACTGTGCGCTTCAGCATGCGCTGACCCTGTGCTGTCATTTTATGTGGCCTACCACTTGGTGGCTGAGTTGCTGTTGTTCCCAGTTGCTTCCACTTTGTTATAATCCCACTAATAGATGACCGTGGAATATTTAGTAGCCAGGAAATGTCACGGATGGACTTATCCTTAGAGTGACCCATTCGTTCACAAATGTTTGTAGAAGCAGTCTTCATGCCTAGGTGATGATTTTATACACCTGTGGCCATGGAGGTGATTGGAACACATGAATCCAATGATTTGGAAGGCTGTCCCAATACTTTTGTGTTTACACACACACACAGAGGTCTGTGTACACAGAAGAGTAATCTGGCTTTTTCTTCTCCTTCAAAACCAGGAAGGAAAAGCAGCACATACAGTAAAGAAATAAGTATTTGATCCCCTGCTGATTTTGAATGTTTGCCCACTCACAAAGAAATGATCAGTCTAAAAATCGAATGTTCGGTGTATTGTAACACTGAGAGACAAAATAGCAACAGAAAATTAATAAGAAATGCATGTGTAACAAATGATACACTGATTTGCATGTTCATGAGGGAAATAAGTATTTGATCCCCTTCACAAAACATGACTTAGTACTTGGTGGCAAATCCCTTGTTGGCAATCACAGGTCAGACGTTTCCTGTAGTTGGCCACCAGGTTTGCACACATCTCAGGTGGGACTTTGGCCCACTTCTCCTGGCAGATCCTCTCCAAGTCATTAAGGTTTGGTGGCCGATGTTTCAGCTTCCTCCAAAGATTTTCAATCAGATTAAGGTCTGGAGACTGGCTAGGCCACTCCAGGACCTTAATCTTATCAGTCCGACTAGTATAGTGAGAAGTATCAGAGTAAATAGTTAAAGTGTATTCATAAATAGTTACAAAGTTGCTATTTGAACAACACAGGTAAATGCAAATGATCGTTGTACAAGTCTGGCCCCATAAAGATGGCCGTGACTAGGGGAACTACAGTAAAATGGAGCCGAGCAGCTATATAAAGCACTATGAGTAAGGTGAATGTCCTATCACATCCCCCTGACAAAGCCACATGACCCGGTGGTGCAACATGTAGGGGAGGGGCTCTGACATCACCACGCACCCGAGGACTAGGCGGCGAGTATAGGCTGTGTGCGGCACACACACAGAGGAGGCTCTTTTTATATTACAAAGCGTGTTATTTATATATACAATGTGAGTGCATACGCATATTGGGCACACATTAAAAGGTTTTTAAAAAGTATAAGGCACTATATTTCCTTTCTTTCACATATTTAAACGTTGGAGAAATAAGGGAAAACGGAGGGACAGAGGAGCAATCCTTCAGCATAAAGAGGGAGAGGTCTCTGCATCCATACCTGCAAACAAGGATCGGATTATCTAGGAAACTCCAGGGGATATCCATCACCCAGCAGATCCTAAATGCAAAGCAGCTGAAAATATCCAACCATTATTAACCAATAGCCGCCTGGCCAATAGCTATTTGGCGGCCGGTAAAATGCTGTAGATTTCCAGGTGGACGCCAATCACAGCAGGTCACATGACAGTTGTATACAATGGATGGCTTCATTCATGCCATCCATTGTATACTAGTGTCTAGCTGTGAATGGTCACAGCGATCACATGCACATGTCATGTGATTAGCTGTGGCCAAATCACAGCTGAGCACAAAAAAAAAAAAACCCTGAATGAATCGATGTCATTCAGGTAAATGCTTGCTTATAGCAAAGTAATTCTTTGCTATAAGCAAATTGTGTAAAAAAAAAAAAATAATAATACTGATGACTTCCCCAAAGTTGTACAATGTTACTACTACGGTCATTTTCGACGGTCACGCAAAGAAAGTCTGTTGCTGGGGGCACAATATTCCTACTACTACTTATTTGAAAGTCAAACAATCATTCTTTTGTCCTGTTTTACAAAAAGATGGTTCTAAGAAAGTTTGTTGGTTTTTCTAATTATAGTCGGTCAAATCGACATTCGTTTTTGACCTCAGTGATAGGAAAATTTGAAGGAGCAGGATGGAAAATTTTTCTCGAACAAACAAATTTCTAACAGCGCATGTGGTTTTTGTTCGGTAAAGTTATTCACTCCAAAATCAAACAAAATCTTTTCAGATTTATTTTCTTGGTCCTACGAAATTTTCATTTGAAATTCTCTCCATCTCTGTCCAGCTTTAGGAAGACTTCCTCTCACTTCCTGTCCTGATTGATCATTTTGTCACATTGGATACAATGAAATGTGATACTTTGTAGCAGAGCAATTATCATTGTTCTGGCTGACAATGGCGGTATGTGTCGGTCGCGGGGAATTTATTGGATGGAATATGAGCGTCTCCGCGGTGACCATTGTTCCCGGCTCTCTGGGTCTATTCTGCGTTCCCCCAGCAACTCTGTTGTTGATACTGAAAGTTCCAAAAGGAGTTTGCAGTCAATGACAAGGAACAGCCAGTGAGTGCTGCTGATTCACGGCAGGGATGGGGACTCAGCGCCCATGGGGGGCCCCTTCACTGCTGCCAGATATACGCCATCCAGTCCTCCTCCTGGGGGACCCCGACACCCTTTCTGTGCGGGGATACTCCAGAGCCGGAGGTAAAGAGGACCTGTCTGCTTCCTCTCGAGTTTCCAGGAGGAAGACATCTCAGCCTGACAACCTGAGAAAAAGTGGGAGCGTTCACCTGGAAACCTGGAGGAGCCTGGACCACTGGGCCAACGTCGGTAAAGGTGGACATCATTGTACTGCTAAAGTGTATCGCTAGCCAAAAATGTTCTTTTCCATTTTGGAAGAGCTAGAACCATTGCCAAGTTTTGTTTATATTTTCTGCTGTCTGTGACCCCATTCTGGAAATTTCCCTCACTTCCTGTCCTGGTGACACCAGCTCAAGACATGGGAGGAGCAGTTGTCACTGGGACAGGAAGTCACCGACAGAAAATGAGAACTTTATCAGAACTTCTAAGGCTGCTTTCACACTGATCCGATTTTCTTCCGCTTTTGTGTACAAAAAAAAAGTGACCATGTATTCCTTTCCATTTTTGGTGCGGTGAAAAAAAAAAAAAAAAAAAAAAAAACCCCATTGAAATCAGATTTCAGGTGCAATTTGGGAATTGAAATCAGACCTGAAATCGCATCCAATGAACGTGATTTAACATTTGCGATTTGTTGCAGCGCGATTTCTAAAGTAGTTCTCGCATTACTTTTTCTGCAGTTTTGTTGAGATTTCACATACATAGACTATAATGGAAATCGCACTGCAAATTGTACGAAATTGTTGAAATTCTTCACAAGTAGCAATAAATTCTTCAGAAATGGCACCTGAAATCGTGCTGAAATTGCACACAACGCGCAATTTTAAATCGCAGTGGTGTGACCGATGTCAAAAACGTTTTTGCTGCGTTTTTTGAGTCACGTGTCCTTTAAAAAAAATGCACCGCAAATGTGGTAAAAATCTCAGCAAAAACGCATATGCATTTTGACCGCATTTTTTTTGCCTTGGATCAGTGTGAAAGTAGCCTAACCTTTCCCCAATCTACTAATGATGTGTTTAGTCTGTGTCCCCATTGGAGAGATTTCTCACCACTTCTTGACAGGAAGTGAAGAAGAAATCTCTTTATCAAAATCATTATGGCAGTCACATTTTTATTAGATGGTGAGGGTCTGATAGCTGTTTATGGCTGTCTATGTCTCCGTTCTAGAAATTTTCACTCACTCTCTGTCCTAGTGACACAAAGACTGAAAATGCTCTACACTACTGAAGGTGTGTCACCAATAGAGAGATTTCTCATCACTTCCTGTCTTGACAGGAGGTGAATAGGAAATCACTTCATCCACGTCATCATGGCAATCAAATTACTTTTCATTAGATGGGCGTTTTAGATCTGTCTGTGTCTCCATTCTGAAAATGTTCACTCACTTCGTGTCCTGGTGACACCAGCAAAAGAAATGGGAGCAGTTGGCACCAGGATAGGAAGTCAAAGACTGAAAATGCTCTACACTACTAAAGGCGTGTTTTTGTCCGTGTCACCAATAAAGAGATTTCTCATCACTTCCTGTCCTGACAGGAAGTGAATAGGAAATCACTCCATCCACGTCATCATGGCAATCAAATTACCTTTTATTAGATGGGAAGGGTCTGTTGGCGTTTTAGATCTCTCTGTGTCTCCATTCTGAAAATGTTCACTCACTTCCTGTCCTGGTGACACCAGCACAATAAATGGGAGCATCATTCGTCACTAGGACAGGAAGGCACAGACAGAAAATTCAAACCCTATCAGAAGTTCTTACCTTTCTCCAATTTTAGTTTTTAGTTTTAGTGTCCCCATTGGAGAGATTTCTTATCACATCCTGTCTTGAGGAGGTGAAGAGGAAATCTTATCAAATATCATCATGGAAATAAAAATCATTTTATTAGATGAAGGGTTGGAGAGGGGTTTTGTTAGCATTTTATTGGTGTCTGTGTCCCTAGTCTGTAAATTTTCACTCACTTCCTGTCCTGGTGACACCAGCACATAAAATGGGAGCAGTGGTTGTCACCAGGACAGGAAAGTACATACAGAAAATGAAAACTTTATCGGGCATTCAAACCTGTCCCTATTCTATAAAGACGTGCTTTAATCCCATTGAAGAGATTTTGGGTGGAGATTTTTAAAGCTGAACTCCAGAAAGATACAAAAGATACAAATGAATGCAGTTCTCTAATCAATAATGCATCAAAAAATGTTTGTTTGTTTTTTTTGCAATGCAAGCAGAGTATATATCTGAATGTAATCAAGTGTCAAACTTTTGCAGCTCCTGTACAGCAGAGCTCAGACTGGGGGAGGGAGAAACAGCACAAGGAGCCAAAAAATAATGTGCTGACACGACACGTGGTGATAGAAGGCTAGAGTAGAGTGACAGACAGATGAACACATCACTGTGCTGCATCTCCTTTTCTTGTCCAATTACAGGCTGGGGGTGGGGGGTCAAGGATGACCTGGGCTCAAAGGAAATAGGTAGAAAGATGGCCCTCAGACTGGGGTCATCTAGTGGCATAAAAAAGTACTGTGAATCATTGGCCAGCAGCTGCTTCAAGTTGATTTGTTGTATCCAGGTGCGTCCACATGTGGCTCAGATTACACAGCCAGTAATGACTTGTGTGGAAATTATTATCACAGAGGTATTCTTATCACAGGCAGCCTTAAAGCAGACCACACACAATGCAATGTGATTGCACAATTGCCTTTAGATCTTCCCGATATGATGTAGTCAGAAGTATTTGGAACATCAGATTGGATTGGTTATGTTGGCCCGCATATGGTTGTAGTACATCTGGAGAGGATTGTGCAATCAGATTACAAAGGGATGTATTTGTTAACGTGCTGCAGATCCCAAGGGCCATGCAACTGGAATGCAGTGCGGGAAACTACACAGGAACTCGGCCCTGAATGAGGCAGAGTAGGAGGATACAACAGTGTATAATAGGCCAGCAGCTGGGCATTTTTTAATGGGCAAGGCTAGGCCTAAATATACTAATGACAAAGGGCACAGTCTGGGGCTTTACTACAAGTATTAAGATATTGCAGAGGATACAGCAGTGCAAAATTGGCCAGCAGCAGGACATTTTTAATGAGCAAGGCTAGGCCTAACTATACTAATGGCAAAGGGCACAGCCTGGGGATTTACTACAAGAATTAGGATATTGCAGAGGATACAACAGTGTAAAATAGGCCAGCAGCAGGACATTTTTATTGAGCAAGGCTAGCCTAAATATACTAATGACAAAGGGCACAGCCTGGGGCTTTACTACAAAAATTAAGATATCGCATATTTACAGCAATATTAGCAGGACATTTTTAATGAGCAAGGACAAAGGGCACAGCCTGGGGCTTTACTACAAGAATTAAGATATCGCATATTTACAGCAATGTAAAATTGGCCAGCAGTAGGACAATTTAAATGCGCAAGAAAAATGCACTGATTAGCAGATATATATTATGTCATGTTAAAGCGTAAAAATGTAATATATTGCAGCTTACCAGTTCTTAGGCATGGAGATTGCATTCATTTTCTTTTTTTCAAGCTAAGAACGTTTTCAGCAAATACTGGAAATACCTGTTGATCCTGGCAGAAATGCAGTGTCCTTGTCACTTCCTGTGAGCTGAAAACAATGTTATCTTTCCTTTATAAATTTTATATCCCATCCACTCCCCCAAGATGAACAAAGGCAGACAAGATTTAAAGTGCAGTCTGCGTGACAACCACGGCTCCCTCCATAGTGGAGAATCGAACGTAGGCATGCTGGGACAGGAAGGTGAAAATAAAAGAAGAGAGCCTGGAAAACGAATGCAGCCACCTCATCTAAGGCTTCAATATATAACATTTTTATTTTTGGGTTTAGATATGCTTTAACCCTTTCGCTACTGCCAACATATGGTACATGTCAACAGCGGCGGGGAGTTTTCTATCTGACAAGGCAACTGTCAGCTGCCAGGTGGATGCAATCGGGAGGCTGTACAGCTACCCAATTGCTCCACACACTCTCAGTAGATTCCAACCCCTCCAGCGTGGATCCCCCGACATATTTCCTGGGTTCCACTGTCCCACCTGCAGACTGGCATGGTGGATGCCTGGTAAGGGAGAACAATGAACATCTATTCACTGATCCCCATACCTATTAGGAATCCAGCAGTGACATGCATTGCACGACTTCTGGGTTAAGCTATCATTTGCTCCATTAGTTTTAATGGAAGGCAGGTGAAACATCAGGTGCCTAATAGACCCCCTTGATGGCTCATTAAAGAGAACCTGTCACAAAAATAGAGCATGATGTCACCACCCCACCTTTCTACTTTGTCCAATCAGAGAAAATTTTGTATTCATAGTGAAAATGCAAAATATTTCTGAATGGCGCTCATGCAGAGCGAAAAACCTCCTTTGTTCACAGTGCATCAGACAGCCACTCGGTGTGAGCCCCTGGGGTTGGATCACTAGAGTAGTAGTGATCTCTTGCTTCCAGAGGAATCCCACAGATGGTATGAACCAGGGGCGGACTGACAACTCATGGGGCCCCCGGGCAATAAGGGATCATGAGGCCCCTGTGTCCTTGCCCAAACTCAAAAAAGCCTATGAAAAAGGTACCAGGGGCATCTCATGGGGCCCCTTACTGGCCCCAGGCCCTCGGGCAGTGCCCGAGTTTCCAAATGGTCAGTCCGCCCCTGGTATGAACATACTGTGGTTACATTGGTCCAAGCTGAAGCAATATAACTATGCAAAACTGTACCTGGAATTCAGATTATACACGGATGACATGTGGGGGCTTTTTGAGGGCCACCTATGGAAAATTTAGAGCACCAAAGTTTATCACCAATTCACAGCTCACACAGTTTAAAAGCTTTACATGTTTGGTATCTAGTTACTCTGCGCAACCTCAGATTTTATATTTTTTTTAAATGGATAATATGTTGCATTTGTGTGCTTTAAAATTGACTTCATACATCTTTTTAATGAATTTTAGGCTTGATAAAGGGCTCATGTACACGGGACGTTTGGAAAACTCTTCAGAATGATGGAAACTGACTGCTGGAAAATGTAGCTTAAAAAATGTCAGTTTACTCTGTGTACTCATAGCACGTTTATGTTTAGAAGCGTTTTTAAAAGATAACCTCAGGAGACCTTCCAAAATGCCCAGAATGCACTGAAAAACAGTAAAAAGTTAACTATTTCAAACATTTTGAGAGAAATAGAGAGAGCAGAAGCAGAGAGAGCAGTACGTGATGAGATGACCTGTCTTTTCTGGTTGTGTGTTCACTATGGATCCCATCATGAGCATAATGCGGCGCGTTCTACCATTTTTTCCTTCACGCAAAACCTGGAACTGACTGCGCTGGTGTACCGGGTCCATTTGAATACATGGAAAACGCTTTGCATGCATTTCTGATGATGAAAAATGCTCTGGGCAGCATTCAGACATGGAACAGTTAAAAAAACGCTTCTAAACGCAAACGCTTATAAACGCGGTTAGCCGCGTTTACAAGCATTTGGTGTTTGAAATACTGGATAAAATCTACTCCTGAACACAAGTTTTGTGCGTTCAAAAAAATGATTGTAAACTCAACTGCCTGTAAATGACGATATGTACATGGACACATAGGAAAACATTAGGGAGAGTTCAGGGGCTGCTGAAAAAAAGCTGAACAGCTCCTGAACGTCCGTTTAGTAGCTGCAGTGTACATGAGACCAAACTGTTAATATGTGACCAGGGGCGGACTGACAACTCATGGGGCCCCCGGGCAATAGGGGATCATGGGGCCCCTGTGTCCTTGCCCAAACTCAAAAAAGCCTATGAAAAAGGTACCAGGGGCATCTCATGGGGCCCCCTACTGACCCCGGGACCTCGGGCAGTGCCCAAGGTTCCAAATGGTCAGTCCGCCCCTGTATGTGACATAAACAATTGTCACAACCGCCATTTTATTCTACGCAGTCTTTGCTTTCACAAAATAATTCCTGTTATGGGGGTTTTAAGTAATCATCAGGCCTAAAATGATTTTTTAAAACACATGCAAAAAGGCAAGAACGGCTCTGGCAGAGAAAAGGTTAAAACTCAGAGCTTTGCTTTATTTATAGGAAAACCACAGCTCCATGCATGGTTCTGATTGGAGTTGTCCTTTAAATCAGTACACCTAGGCAATAATGGATGCATATAAAAAGGAAGGGGATCTCTCCGATCCCCCCCCCACCCGCTGGGATTTCCTTTATCTAGAGCAGCAGCCATAGTTCGAGGAATGGACAGATATCGGTTTCAGGATCTGGCAGTCAATGTAGAGTCTTATCGTTCCTTTCCGTCATCACCTTCCTTGAAGCAGTTTGTGGCTTATCATTGAAATGGAAATGATATGGAGAATTCAGACGTCCGTTGTCCACCTGATCAAATCCGGACTATCAGGCGGATTAATCCGATAGGGTGGCCATCTCATGTGATGCATCCGGTCTCCGAAAGCGAGGAATTCTTTTATTATACCGGAGTAATCCAATGCCAACTATTCAGCACATAAATTCTGCGGTATCGTCAGTGAGCAGACATCTGGGTCAGTATGATCATCTTACAGCTCAACTCCAGTCAATCAGCTGAATGCACGATAATATAAAAAAAAAAAGAAAAGAATACATATTTTATTTTTTTATATATATATATATATATATATATATATATATATATATGATATTTGGGCTGTATTTCTGTTCATCCTGTCCTGAGATTTACACAGCTGTGCCATAACTGATTCTTCTCTGCTGCAGTTACAGCCTGGTCACCTCCCTGTCCCCAAATTGTAACCATCACGCATATATGCGGGGGTGAAGAGGGTGGGCTTTAACGCCTACATGTTGCACATATATGCATCCATGGAAGACAGAGGTATCTGTGCTGAGAGCGTGCTCTTTGTGTGCTCCCAGCCAGGGGCAGACTGACAACTCATGGGGCCCCCGGGCAATAGGGGATCATGGGGCCCCTGTGTCCTTGCCCAAACTTAAAAAAACCTATGAAAAAGGTACCAGGGGCATCTCATGGGGCCCCGTACTGACCCCGGGCCCTCGGGCAGTGCCCGAGTTTCCAAATGGTCAGTCTGCCCCTGCTCCCAGCACAGTGTACGAGCTGTCATAGACAGTTCTCAGTCTCCTGACTGTCTCCTGATTATGTGATCACAATGAACACAGACAGGGTGCACACGCCCACAGCTGGACGACTGTCAAATTGGGACCCAGCAAAATGGATCTTTGCTATATATATACAGTTGCAAGAAAAAGTGTGTGAACCCCTTTGGGATTCCGTAGAGTTTTGCATACAGTTGCAAGAAAAAGTGTGTTGAACCCTTGGGGATTCGTAGTGTTTTTGCAATGGGCATAAAATGTGCTCTGAACATCATCTAAGTCACAACAATAGAAGAACACAGTCTGCTGAACATAATACTACACAAACATTAGATGTTGCCATGGTTTAATTGCACATAACATTATTAGTCCACGGGACGGTTTGATAACGCTGGTAACGTTAGCTGTCTAAAGTCACGTTAAAAACCTAAGTTTTTTAGCTTTTTTTAGCATTTGCATTAGCGCTTAGCGGCGTTTTCCAGCGTTTAAAAAAAAAAAAAATTTGGGGGGGGGGGTCAAAAAAATGTCCAACAATGCCAGTTTGCGGCGTTTTTCAGCATTAGAGCATTTTTCCAGCTAAAAACCTCATCTAGAAACCCAATAGTCCTGTTTTTTTTTTCAGCCAAAAAACATCCCAGCCAAAAAACGTTGATTACAGTCTATGTACATGGACACATAAGATAACATGCTGGGGGGTTTACTGGCTGTAGGAAAAAAAATCAAAAGCCAAAAACATCCTGGTCTGCATGAGGACTTAGGTGTGAAGTTTCTGACAGTCCTCCCAAGCATTATGTTCTGCCCTTTGGTGATGTCAGGGGCTGCATTTATTATTTATTTATTTAGGTACTTATATAGCGCCATCAATTTACGCAGCGCTTTACATATATATTGTACATTCACATCAGTCCCTAACCCTCAAGGGGCATACAATCTAAGGTCCCTAACTCACATTCATACATATAGTAGAGCCAATTTAGACAGGAGCCAATTAACCTGCCAGCATGTTTTTGGAGTGTGCAAGGAAACTGGAGTACCTGGAGGAAACCCACACAGTCACAGAGAGAACATGCAAACTCCAGGCAGGTGGTGCTGTGGTTGGGATTCGAACCAGCGACCCGAGTACTGCCAGGTGGAAGTGCTAACCACAATGCTGCCCGCATTAGATTTCCCTTCTAGCTCATTAGGGGTGGTGTGGGCCAGGAACTGTCAGATTGGGAAGGAAAGCTCTAGATGATGCTGGATCCAGGAAAGGTGGGCTCTATCTGACTTGCTGCAGCTTCTAATGCACATCGTGAGAAGCTCACAGTGTGCAGTGAAATCAGAGTAAGCCATTTCAGTACAAGAGCACTGAAGCGAAAGACTTCAGTGGAGTTCGCTGCAAACTTCGAGCAAGATTTGAACCCGGTCAGATCTGCTCACCCCCAATCCCCACCTGAGATAATGATGTCTTTTCTCCCCAGACAGGAAATTCCCGGAGGGGCACCCAAATGAGAAGAAGGAGATCGGAGCTCATAACAAGTCTCAGCTGGAAAACCAAACTGAAGAGGTAACTAATGACTACAACACACAACCACTACCAAAGTCCTCCTAGTTCCTGATCTGGAGATTCAAAAAAGACATCCAAGACATGAGAGCAGCAACTATGTTTAGTAGTTGTCTTTTATTTGCCAAAGAGTGGCCAACGTGCATTGGGGGCTCGCCAGTCTCCCTTCATCAGGGCCGGAAGTGGTAGAATCAGGGGCGGACTGACGACTCATGGGGCCCCTGGGCAATAGGGGATCATAGGGCCCCTGTGTCCTTGCCCAAACTCACAAAAACCTATGAAAAAGGTACCAGGGGCATCTCATGGGGCCCCCTACTGACCCTGGGCCCTCGGGCAGTGCCCGAGTTTCTAAATGGTCAGTCTGCCCCTGGGTAGAATAAAAGGCTGGGCAGAACACTGGACCACAAAGAAGTCTCATTTCCTTTTTATTACAGTGCTCTTGTCTTCCTAGGCACTGTGGAAGGTTAGCTACGTGGAAGGATAAGATTTCCCCTTCTTTCCATGGTCATCCAACATCACAGCTAGTAAGAAGACGGCTGCATTAATGCCAACACTTGTCTCCTGCTCCAAGAATTTCCCCCAAAAGAAGTGCTGACAAGCAGATAATGGGGGGAAGGAAGGTGTGGGGTTATGTGTCAGCCTCTCGTTTCTCTTCATTCCTCTAGCTCAGTGTTTCTCAACCTTTTTTCAGTCAAGGCACCCTTAAAAATTATGGACATTCCCAAGGCACCCTTTAAAATTATGGACAGTCTTGATGCACCCAATTCTAAAATAGGGGGCCTCAAGACTGTCCATAATTTTAAAAGGGCACCCCATTCTAAATGTGAAAAGTTTTATAGAACGCAGCAACATCCAAACATGTAGGACACCCAACATTAGAGGTGATTTATTCTTCCAAAGCAAATACACTTTTTGGAGGGTCCAACTAGGATGCTGTACAGGCAGCTGGCATCCTCCTTATCAACTGATGATGTCATTGGTTGTCAGGAAGCTGGCAGCTAGAAGGTCATAATGGTGCACAATGACAACCTGTGGCTTTGTGTAACTAAAAGGCAGGCTTGCATACAAGTTTTGGGCAATTTTTAGACATTTTGCCAAGGCACCCCTGAAGAAACCTCAAGGCACCCCAGAGTGTCTGGGCACCCTGGTTGAGAAAGCTGCTCTAGCTCATGGGTGTCAAACGGGTGTCAAACTGGCGGCCCTCCAGCTATTGCCAAAGTCCAATGAGGCATTGCAAGATTGACAGTTACAAGCATTACTCCCAAAGGTAGAGGCATGATGGGACTTTCGCAACAACTGGAGGGCCACCAGTTTGACACCTCTATCTGGAGCTTGTCTCTGGGGACAATGCAACCGTCTCCTTGCTAGCTGCGTTGTCGGGTGACTGTGAAGGGAGGGGGTTGTCCAACCATGTAGCTAGCCCTCCACAGCTTGTGGGAAGAGGAAACAAAGTACTACATGTGTAGAATATTGTAATAAAAAAGAAATTAAACTTCTTTAACCTTTTCACTTCCATGGACATTGTACTTATGTCCGTAGCACTGTGGAGGGGTGTCTAACACGCACTCACCGCTGCTACAGTAGCTGGCAATGCATGTAAACTACACAACCTGACTATCAGCTTTGAGATGGAAGTGATTCAGTGGCTGCACAGATTGCAAAAGAGGATGCAAAAGACAGCTACAGCGCAGTCGTCCAGTTCTAAGAAGGCACCCATGGATGTCCTCCCAGAACCATGCCCTGTGCAGCCCTTTACCATATGATCAGCTGTGTCCAATCACAGCTGATCACATTGTAAACAGCTATCAGCAGTCCTATCCTCACGCGCTGTCACAGAGTGAGGAGAGGAGAGCTGGTAACTGACAAATCACACAGGTGGACGTTTACACAGATAATCAGGGCACTGATCATCAGTGCCCTGATGATCAGTGCAGCACCATCAGTGCTTCCTCATCAGTGCCGCCTCACCAGTGCAGCCAATCAGTGTCCATCAGAGCCTCCTCATCAGTGCCGCCTCATTAGTGCCCATCAGTGCCGCCTCATTAGTGCCCATCAGTGCAGCCTCATCAGCACACATTAGTGAAGGAAAAAAATTACTTATTTGCAAAATTTTCTAACAGAAACTAAGAAAAAGGTTTTTATTTTTCTCAACATCTTTTTTAGGAAAAAAATTAAAAACCCAGTGGTGATTAAATACCACCAAAAATTATTCAAAGTGCGGCAGCGCTGAAAGCTGGAAATTGGCCTCAGCAGGAAGGGGTGAAAGCGTCTGGTATTGAAGTGGTTAAAGTGATTGCCATGTCATGGGCATGCTCAGCTTTAATGCTTGATATGTTTTGTATCCATTTAGTCGGCACAACCTCATCTTTTATATTTTACCAAAAATTGGGTAGTAGCTAGCAACTGTGTATTTTTTTACTGAAAATATACATTTGATAAACAGTTTGGCTAATATCGTTTAACGTAACAAATTGGAGCTACGACCATTTTATTCTTTAGGATCTCTGCTTTCAGAAAATACACTGCTAAAAAAAATTAAAGGAACACCTTTTAATCAGAGTATAGCATCAAGGCAATGAAACTCCTGGGATATTGGTCTGGTCAGGTAAGAAGCAGAGGGGGTTGTTAATCAGTTTCTGCTGCTTTGGTGTTAATGAAATTAACAACAGGTGCACTAGATGGGCAACAATGAGACAACCCCCAAAACAGGAATAGTTTTACAGGTGGAGACCACTGACAGTTTCTGCTGCTTTGATGTTAATGAAATTAACAACAGGTGCACTACATGGGCGACAACGGGACAGGTCGAGGCCACTGACATTTTTTTTCCCTACTCATCTTTTCTGACTGTTTTTCACTAGTTTTGCATTTGGCCAGGGACAGTGTCACTACTGGTAGCATGAGGCCAAACCTGGACCCTACAGAGGTTGCACAGGCACATCAATACATGCCATTGCCAGAAGGTTTGCTGTGTCTCCCTGCACAGTCTCAAGAGCATGGAGGAGATTCCAGGAGACAGGCAGTTACTCTAGGAGAGCTGGACAGAGCTGTAGAAGGTCCTTAACCCATCAGCAGGACCGGTATCTGCTCCTTTGTGCAAGGAGGAACAGGATGAGCACTGCCAGATTCCTAAAAAATGACCTCCAGTAGGCCACTGGTGTGAATGTCTCTGACCAAACAATCAGAAACAGACTTCATGAGGGTGGCCTGAGGGTCCAACATCCTCTTTTTCACAGATGAGAGCAGATTCACCCTGAGCACATATTACAGACTTGAAAGGGTCTGGAGAAGCCTTGGAGAACATTATGCTGCCTGTAACATCGCTCAGCATGATCATTTTGGTGGTGGGTCAGTGATGGTCTGGGGAGGCATATCCATGGAGGGACACACAGACCTCTACTGGCTAGACCAATGGTTTGCAAACTGCGGCCCATGGGCTGAATGCAGCCCTTGGCTTGCCTCTACCTTCGGGGTACTATTCCTCCCACTGATACCAACAAGGAGGCAACATTTCTTCCACTGGCACCAACTATGGGGCATTTTTCCTTCCACTGACACCAATGATGGGGTACAATTTCTCCCACTGATATAAACAATTAGGTACTATTCCTGTCAACTAATACCAAGGATGGGGCAGTATTCCTTCCTCTGAGACCAAGAATAGGGCACTCTTCATCCCACTGACACCAATGATGGGAGACTATTCCTCCCCCCGACACCAATGATGGGGCACTATTCCTCCCACTAATACCAATGATGGGGCAATATTCCTCCCACTAATATCAATGATGGGGCACTGTTCCTCCAACTAATACCAATGACTGGACACTATTCCTCCTTCTACTTTTTTTTACTCCTACTGATGCTAGATCATTTTTTACTCCCACTGGCCACTCCAGCCCACCTAAAGTCTGAAGGACAGTAAACTGGCCCTTTGTGTAGAAAGTTTGGAGACCCCTGGGCTAGACAATAGCACCCTGACTGCCATTAGGTATCGGGATGAAATCCTTGGACTCAATGTCAGACCCTACGCTGGTGCAGTGGGTCCTGGGTTCTTCCTGGTGCACAACAATGCCCTGCCTCATGTGGCGAGAGTATGCAGACAGTTCCTGGAGGATGAAGGAACTGATACCATTGAATGGCCCCCATGATCACCTGACCTAAATCTAATAGAACACCTCTGGAATATCATGTTTCCATCCATTTGACACCACCAGGTTGCACCTCAGACTGTCCAGTTGCTCAGTGATGCCCTGGTCCAGATCTGGGAGGAAATACCCCAGGACACCATCCGTCGTCTCATTAGGAGCATGCCCCAATGTTGTCAGGAACACATACAAGCACATGGGGGCCATACAAACTACTGAGGGCCATTCTGAGTTGCTGCAATGAAATTTCAGCAAAATGGACTTGCCTGCTGCATCATTTTTTCACTTTGATTTTCGGGGTGTCTTCGAATTCAGTGCTCTGTAGGTTAATAATTTTCATTTCCATCAAAGGATGGGGCATTCTTACGTTCCTAACACATTGCCCGTCCATATCAGTATAGATATCCAGCAGGAGATTTGTCCTCATTGAAATCTGATATGTTTTCAAAGTGTTCCTTTAATTGTTTTGAGCAGTGTATGTGTTTGGGGATTTTAATTAATCTTTAGGCCTATAACATGTGCAAAAAGGGATCTGGCAGCGAAACGGGAAATTGTATACTTACCTTGCCATAATTTTCCTTTCTTGGTGCATCTTCAGCATCTTCATGGCAGCATACAATGGGTTGTGACTCCACCCCCACCACCTGATAGGACTGATTAACTACAGACCCGCAGCATTCTCTGTAACGCTAACCATTTGGGTGGGAATCTGTATGCTTCCATGAAGATGCACCAAGAAAGGAAAATTATGGAAAGGCAAGCATACAATTTTCCTTTTCCTGGCGCATCATGGCAGCATACAATGGGAACTAACTTGCCATATGGGAGGGCACATGAAAAAAAATTGTAATGGTCAGTAGCACAAGTATGCTCCTGCACAACACATTTTCCAGATTTTACTGTTGTAAAGCTGAGCCGGGTTCACCTAATAAAGCGCAAGGTGTTCTGGGAGGACTTTATTGTTGACTTGCAAAAAGCTTCAGGAGATACTCAACATTGTGCTGTCCATGGATCTGGCACTGCCCTGGTAGCATGTGCGCTTAAGTCTTACAGAATAGAAAGGCTCCTTAATTGTTTTAACAATCTAGGACGCGATTTGAAATATTGAATAACTCAAGCGCTAACTATGGTGAAGTAAAAACAAAAAAATTACAATAAATTGCTGTAGCCTTTAGTGCACACACCCCATGTCTCTGTGGGGCAAATTATACAATCATAAAGTGAAGTGAAAAAATGCTGCGCTACATAAACCAATGGCACAAACTATTATATTACCAAAAAACAAAGTGAAAAAATAAATCATTATTAGAAGAATAAATAGTAGTAGAAAAAATATTAATATTGAAATAAAAATATAGATATATGAGAATATAAATATATATATATATATATACACACATAAACAATATATATATAAAAAAATATACATATAAAAAAAAAAACACATAAAATATATAAATTAAGAATATTTTAAGTATGAATCAAATAAAAGTCAATCAAAAATCAAGTTCTATCAATAAAGTGTTCATTCAGTGAACCCTCCTTTGGATAATGAAAAATATATGCATCTGTCATCAATTCCCGTGCAGAGACATCCTCCACCATATATCTGCTCACCTCACGCAGTGTGACCTCACATTATACAGTGTTACGGTCTAACTGCACTTTTGGTCCCATATGGACACAGAAGATCAGCTTGCTGAATGAAGACTCCAAAGTAAACTCCCTCCTGATGAGCGTCTTTGTATCAGCCATATTCCTCATTAAAAGAGAACTCAACATAGTGCTTTATCCTTATAAACGTTTATTCATCAATAAAATACATATGAAATACTCTCACGTTCCGGAGGTGTATGTTGCACCAGGTATGATGAAGATCCCGTGATGTACTGATTAAACACTAGATGGCAGTATCATCTCAGCAGCAGAGTCCTGTACAAGCTCAAAACAGACACCATCCGTAATATAATGCAAGGTAAAGCACGGGCCACTTAATGAATGCTATTGCCTGCTGTAATATCGTTCCAAGAGCCGTTTGTAGAGTATTACAGGCCACTATCCCGATGAATGGCAACGCCGTGATGTCATCCGCACACTCCTCTCCGACGCGTTTCGTCACTAGTCACGTGACTTTATCAAGGGAATACGTTTCATCTTTCCTGAATGAAAAAGTAGCTGCCAAGCAAGCCATCAGAGTTAGACCAACATCCAGGGAATGTAGTTCTTCCGTTTCACCAAAGAAAGATGGTAAATTTAGCTCCTGGTTAAAGTGGAAGGAGAAACACACCTTTTGGATAAAAGCAGGCTGGGGATTTTTGGATTATTCTGTCAGAGTAGAACGTTAGTTGAGGCTCCTCAAGTGCAAAGCTTGGAGCCTGACACCCTTTCACAGAGGTTGTAGCAATCGGAAATATGGTTTTCAGGGTTAGATTGCAGAGTGTAGCTGTAAGATAGAAATGAGGCCTCGATGGAGCTTTGGGGAACATAGGCCAATCCCACTTAGGGAATAAAAGTTACCTGGCAGGTCTTCTTGCAAGCCTTTAAGTACTAAAGGGTTAAGGGTTCCTTAAACCTCTGAAGGTGCGGGTGAACTTTGAATGCTAAATGTAATTGAACCTAGGCCATTGTCCAGTCCTAGTTGTAAGAACTGCAGAACCTTGGCTCATTATGGTGATAAAAGACTCCAGGCTTTTGGCCTGTGAGATCTGCCTATTTTAGACATAGGCTGGCCATATATTATACAATTTTCTTGCAGATTTTGCTTTAGATTTACCAAAAACCATATAATAAGAGGAACCTAAACAACTGTACCCAATTAGGCAGGCCCTTGCACTACATAGTTGAAGGTAAATCTAAAGGAAATTGGACAGAAAATGATAAGAAAATTGTATAGTGTATGGCCAGCCTTACTCTCTGATCAGTCTTATTCATGGAGACCTCTCTGGCTTGACACAAGGTAGCCACTACCTCCACTGAGCACCCTTGACTCGGTAGCCCCAGCCGCTCAACGTCCATGCTATCAAATGTAGTCTCTTGAGGTTAGATGGTAAAATCCCCTGGTCCAGTTTGTCCTTCCTGTGTCTCATTATTTGGGGGGAGACAGTCGCAGACAGTGCTTCGTAGTTCTGCGCTAGCTTAGAGCAGTTAAAAAAAAATAAATAAAAAAAACTTTCCTGTTGCCATTTGCTATGTGGGAAGAGGAATACTTTTTCCATTTTCGGGTCTGGTTCACAGTGCAGAGGCTCCTGTGAATTAAGTTAATGTCCCGGCCTTTTCTACATCAATCCGTCGGGCAGTCTGGTGGATTGATACAAAGAGGCCAGGAGTTTCATTCATCATTAACCCCTTGGCGCCGGCGCCTCCCGGCCCTTTAAGGGTTTCAGAAGCTGGGAGGCAGGTGGGGTTTTAGGGTCATGTGACCGTTGTGATTCACTGTCACGGCGGTCACATGATCGGGAAAGGTCCCGATTGCAAGAGGAGATCGGGACCTTTCCGTGAGTACCGGAGAGTGCGAACTCTCAGCACATATGTTTTTCTTAATTGATTTATTTATTTCAGGTACTTATATAGCGCCGTCAATTTACGCAGCGCTTTACATATATATTATACATTCACATTCAAGGGGTGTACAATCTAAGGTCCCTAACTCACATTCATACATACACATACTAGGGCCAATTTAGACAGGAGCCAATTAACCTACCAGCATGTCTTTGGAGTGTGGGAGGAAACCGGAGTACCCGGAGGAAACCCACGCAGGCACAGGGAGAACATGCAAACTCCAGGCAGGTGGTGCCGTGGTTGGGATTCGAACCAACGACCCTAGTACTGCCAGGTGTAATTGCACGCAAATGTGCGGCCGCTCGGCGTTAAGGCCCAGACGCTGGGAGGCCACACATTTGCGTGTGGCCAGCGCCAAGAGGATAAGAAACAGCGGCATTACAAATTAGTCCGCCAGACCAGAAAATGTAAAAATAGTGCCCCGTCTGCTGCGGTCCCCCTTCCCGCATAGCAAATGGCAACAGGAAAGTTTTTAATGTTTTTCACTGCTCACACAGAATTACGAAGCACTATGTGCGGCTGTCCCTGCCCTGATCTCAGATTTCCGGGGCAATGGTGGGACATTATTCAAAATATCGGGACTATCCTGGGTAATCCATGACAGTTGGCAGCTATGCAATGGGTGGTCTGACTAGGCAGCGTTTCTTATAGAAAAAGAGCAAAGCAGCAGACTGAAAGGAAAAGCAACATGACCCAGTGATCCCAGAGCAACACTGAGCCCGGGTTCACACCGATGCGGTGCGGCACATCGCATATGATCCACATAGGAACCCGCACCACATTCCTGTGCAAATCACATGCGATTTATGTGCGGTGCGATTGGAGCCAGTACTCATGAGAGGAGTACTGTGAGGTTTTCAGGAAGCTACGTACAGTACCGCTCCACTAGCCATGATCTGCCTGCTTTGCATAGGGAAGAGCACAGGGAGCCAGTTATGACAACACTGGGTCTACAATACGGTATGGAATGCAAATGGAAAAGTTTTATTACCAACTTGATGGGGGGGGAGAATGACCCAGGTTAGCAGATTAGAGCTCATAGAGGTATGAATAGAATGTTGTTACATTGTTTCTTGGTTCTTCCTCCAGATTCAGTTCCAGCTGCTGGAGAAGATAAATACTGGAGGGTTTTATGACCTGAAAAGACTGTTCTTGTCCCATGACCCAGAAGGCCGCGGGAGAGTCACCAGGTATTTATAGCCCTGCTAACGCATATAATTTTATACAAGGCTCACCATCTGGCAAACCCTGACAACGCAGCACACTCAGCTGTAGGCTGTCCTGTCTGTAAGCATAACTCCATACAAAAGAGAAAATCCCAATAAGTAGACAGAAGAGCTATCGATTTACACCGATTTTCAACCTTCTATAACCCCATAGGCCTGTTGGCAACACCAACATACAGTTGCAAGAAAAAGTATGTGAACCCCTTGGGATTACGTGGAGTTTTGCATGAATTGGGCATAAAGATGTGCTCTGAACGTGCTCATCTCATGCTCTAAGTCACAACAATAGAAGAAACACAGTCTGCTGAACATAATACTACACAAACATTAAATATTGCCATGGTTTCATTGCACATAACATGTAAACATTCACAGTGCAGGGAGGAAAAAGTATGTGAACCTTTGGACTTAATAACTGGTTGACCCTCCTTTGGCAGCAATAACCTCAACCAAACGTTTCCAGTAGTTGCAGATCAGACCTGTACAACGATCTGGAGTAATTTTGGACCACTCCTCTTCACAAAACTGTTTCAGTGTAGCAATATTCTTGGGATGTGTGGTGTGAATCGCTCTCTTAAGGTCATGCCACAGCATTTCAATCGGGTTGAGGTCAGGACTCTGACTGGGCCACTCCAGAAGGCGTATTCTGTGCTGTTGCAGCCATTGTTTTGTTGAATTACTTGTATGCTTTGGGTCATTGTCCTGTTGCATCACCCATCCTCTGCGGATCTTCAGTTGGCGGACAGATGTCATACGTTTTCCTGCAAAATGTCTTGATAAACTCTGAAATTCATTTTCCCATCAATGACAACAATCCGTCCAGGCCCTGAGGCAGCAAAGCAGCCCCAAACCATGATGCTCCCTCCACCATGTTTTACAGTGGGGATGAGGTTTTGATGTTGGTGTGCTGTGCCTTTTTTTCTCCACACATAGTGTTGGGTGTTCTTCCCAAACAACTCAATCTTGGTTTCATCTGTCCACAGTATATTTTTCCAGTAGTGCTGTGGAACATCCAGGTGCTCTTTTGCAAACTTCAAACGTGCTGCAATATTCTTTTTGGACAGCAATGGCTTCCTCCGTGGTGTCCTCCCATGTACTCCATTCTTGTTTAATGTTTTCCTTATTGTAGATGTGTCAACAAAAATGTTAGCATGTGCCAGAGATTTCTGTAAGTCTTTAGCTGACACTCTGGGATTCTTCTTTACCTCATGGAGCATTCTGCGCTGTGCTCTTGCAGTCATTTTTACAGGACGACCACGCCTAGGGAGAGTAGCAACAGTGCTAAACTTTCTCCATTTGTAGACAGTCTGTCTTACCGTGGACACATGAACATCAAGGCTTTTGGAGATACTTTTGTAACCCTTTCCAGCTTCATGCAAGTCAACAATTCTTGATCGTAGGTCTTCTGAGAGCTCTTTTCTGCGAGGCATGGTTCACATCAGACAGTGCTTCTTGAAACCAGTAAACCCAAAACAGGTGTGTGTTTTTTAAGGGCAGGACAGCTGTCAGCAACACATCCAATATCATCACACTGATTGGAGTCAAGGTTGGCTCACTCCTGGCTCCAATTAGCTCTGGGAGAAGTCATTAAGCTAGGGCCTCACATACTTTTTCCTCCCTGCACTTTGAATGTTTACATGTTATGTGCAGTTAAACCATGGCAAACATCTAATGTTTGTGTAGTATTATGTTCAGCAGACTGTGGTCTTCTCTTGTTGTGACTTAGATGACGTTCAGAGCACATTTTATGCCCAATTCATGCAAAACGCCATGTAATCCCAAGGGGTTCACATACTTTTTCTTGCAACTGTATGTATTTAAAAATGGAATGATCTTTGGATATATTTTGCATTCTAAGTGCAGGACGCAGCCGAAACATATCGGCTGAAAATAGCCCTATCAGCATTTTGCCGATAGGAAAATTTTAGTCGATGCAGGTGCCGATACAAGGGGCTGTGTGTATTGCACATGTAGGGGGGGGGGGGGGGAGAAAGGCAGGAGAGGAGCAGTGTATACAGTGCGCTACCGCTAAATTTAAAAACCAGCATTGTTTTAAATGCAATTACTGGCTTTTTTTTTTTCCCTTAGCTATAGCTCCAAGAAGGAGCTGTCATTCTCCCCGCCGCTAAAGGAAACAAAGGGGTGGGGGTCACCGATGACATTACGTGGTGACCCCCCCCCCCTTTATTTCCTTTAGCGGCAGAGAGAATGACAGCTCCTTCTCGGAGCTATAGTGAAGGAAAAAAAAAGCCGGTAATTGCATTTAAAAACAATGCTGATTTTTAAATCTAATTACTATCTTTTTTTCCTTCACTATAGCTCAGAGAAGGAGCTGTCATTCTCTCTGCCGCTAAAGGATATAAAGGGGCGGGGTCAGCCGGTAACATTATCCAGTGACCCCGCCTCTTTATTTCCTATAGCGGCGAGGAGCAGACAGCTCCTTCTCTGAGCTATAGTGAAGGGAAAAAAAAGCCAGTGATTACATTCAAAAACTGGCAGTGACATTTAGTGGTAGCTCACTGTATACACTGCTCCTCTGCTGCCCCCTCCTTGCACACACTGCCCCCCCCCCCCCCCGCAAAGAGGATCTGTCACGCATATGCTATCACATAGGGGACTATTGGCTCTTATGTGATAGCAATAAAATCATAAGTAAAAAAATAAATAAAAATACACATTAAAGTTAAAAAAAAATACAACAAAAAATTGAGCCTCCCCACATACGCAGACATTTCTGTTTTCGGCCATGTGCATTTTGAATTTTTGGTATCGGTTTTGGCCCCAAGATTTTCATTTCAGTGCACCACTAGTTGTCACCTGTGCAGTAAGTCCATCCGTGACATTTCCTTACTACTAAATATTCCACGGCCATCTGTTAAAGGTATTATAACAAAGTGGAGGCAACTGGGAACAACAGCAACTCAGCCACCAAGTGGTAGGCCACGTCACATGACAGAGCGGGGGTCAGCGCATGCTGAAGCGCACAGTGCGCAGAAGTCACCAACTGTCTGAAGAGTCAATAGCTAAAGACCTCCAAACTTCGTGTGGCCTTCAGATTAGCACAACAACAGTGTGTAGAGAGCTTCATGGAATGGGTTTCCATGGCTGAGCAGCTGCATCCAAGCCTTACATCACCAAGTGCAATGCAAAGCGTCGGAAGAAGTGGTGTAAAGCACGCCACCACTGGACCCTAGAGCAGTGGAGGACATGTTCTCTGGAGTAACCAATCACACTTCTCTGTTTGGCAATCTGATGGACTTCTCTGGGTTTGGTGTTTGCCAGGAAAACGGTACTTTCCTGACTGCAGTGTGCCAAGTGTAAAGTTTGGTGGACAGAGGATTATGGTGTGGGGTTGTTTTCCAGGGGTTGGGCTTGGCCCCCTAGTTCCAGTGAAGAGAACTCTTAAGGCATCAGCATACCAAGACATTTTGGACAATTTCATGCTCCCAACTTTGTGGGATGGCCCCTTCCTGTTCCAACATGCCTGCACACCAGTGCACAAAGCAAGGTCCATAAAGACATGGAGGAGCCAGTTTGGGGTGGAGGAACTTGACTGGCCTGCACAGAGTCCTGACCTCAACCCGATAGAACACCTTTGGGATGAATTAGAGTGGAGACTGTGAGCCAGGCCTTCTCGTCCAACATCAGTGCTTGACCTCACAAATGTGCTTCTTGAAGAATGGTCCAACATTCCCATAGACACCCTCCTAAACCTTGTGGACGGCCTTCCCAGAAGAGTTGAAGCTGTTATAGCTGCAAAGGGCGGGGCCAACTCAATATTGAACCATACGGATTAAGACTGGGGGGGCATTAAAGTTCATGTGCGTGGAAAGGCAGCCGGCCCAATACTTTTGGTAGTATAGTGTATATCTGATGCTTGGTTTGCTTTAACAAAGTAAATCAGACAACACTGATCTGTACAATGGCTGTGTGTAGACTATAGATTACTGCACATTACACACATATCAGTGCTGTGAAGGTTATGACTTTGTCCCTCTCTTTAAGGGATGCTCTGCTGGTGGTCCTGACTATGTTCCTCGGCCGATTTATTAGTAGAATGCAGTTTCAACATCTCCTAAGCAGGTGAGCATCATATTACTGCATAATGGGAGAAGACATTTTTGTTCAATTTCCTCTTGCCTGCATTATGTATATTAACATTTCCCAACTTCCTCCCTCTTACTGGGGTATTATTAATATAGATCCCTCTTTGAGGGCCACCACCCCACACATTGCGTGCCTGGTGGCTCTCAATACCAACTGTCATGGACAGCTCAGGTCCCTAATCAGAGTGGTTGTGAATTAAAAAAATCAAAGTCTTAATATTGGTGTTTGTTCATAATAAACATAAAACATCCAAGGCTTTTTGGGGCCTTCTGCCATTTCATTGCTCCAGGGCTCTTTTCATGGTTCATCTTTCAAATATTTATGAAGACTGTGCTATTTGTGAGTCCTCCCAAATACATACAACATTTGAGCCCTGTTCTCTTTCAAGCACCGCTTTATGCAGTGACATACCACTTTTAGAAATCGATCCATCCAGCTGGTATGGCCACCTGCTGAATAAGTACCCTCCACAGACAGCTTAACTCTCCAAAAAGACCCGGTAGTTTACTCCAATGTGGTTTTAATTGTTAAAATGCAGTACATGGGATGTTCAGTTGTCATTTGAAGTGTGAAGAGACAGTAATATTCTAAGCCTTGTGCCCACTATGAGCTGGTAACTAATGGGGAGACATGAAGAAGAAGAGAGGGGTCTAAAAAGGAATCAACCAACTAGCCCCAACATATAGGTAAGCTGGAATGTACCATTTTCCAGACATTAAATTACAAGTTGTAGTTACACGAATTACTGCTAGATGTCAGAATCCAGCCACTAGTAATTACATAATGAAATCCAATGCAGCAGTGATGGATACACTGGATGATGGATAATAAGTGTTTCAGAACAAGCCCTGAAGAAGGGAGAGAGAGACCTTTGAGCCCCTGAAACATGCTGGCTGTTTTATGTTTTCTTGATATAAAGGAACACCAATAAAATAAGTGGGACTCTTAGGCCTTGTCAACTTGGGCAAACTTAAAGAAAAAGTCCAGGATAGGAAAAAAAATCCTGCCTTAGTACACCCCCCTACACAAAAAACACTAAACAGCTAATAAAATTGTAAAAATCCTTACCATTCTGGAGATAAGTCTAACTGAATTTTCATGACCCCATCTTTGTAATTTAAAAGATAACAGCATCTGCTCTGCCAAGGAGGAGGTGTAACAGAAGGGATTACATCATATCCTCTCCCCTGCAGTAAAAGGAAACTACAGTTCCCATCAACCACAGGGAATTGTAGCAGGGCAGTCTTAATACATTGAAAGCCCTGGGCACTGCGCAGGAGTGCCAAGTGTATGGGGGCCCCATGATAATCTTGCATTACATCATATTTGCCAACTGTCCTGGATTCGCTGGGACAGTCACACTTTTTACTAAGCTGTCCCAGGATGCCTCGGGCAGCATCCTGGAACCTGTAGTGTGTCGTCCTGATCCCAGTATTGTGCCATCCTGATCCCTCGTACTGAGCCCTTCTGCCTTCCTTCTTTGTACTGTGCCCTTCAAATTGATTAGTCATTTGATATTGGCATGTTTTCTTAGGCTCCATGCACACTAGCTTTTTTTTATAAGCTCAAAAAATGCTGAGAAAAACCCTGGTAGTCGCGTTCAGGAGTGTCTAAGAGAGTTAGCATTTTATTAGCGTTTTTACAGTAGATGTAGAGGAGAAAAAAAAAGCTGTTAGGAGCGTAAATAAAACACAAGTATGCATGGAGCCTAAGCATCCGTGCACACTAGCATTTTTTTTACTCAAAAAACGCTGGTAATAGTGTTTTTAGTAGCGTTTGGGAGCATTAGCATTTTTTAGGGCTCATGTACACTGCAGCTGATAAACTCACGTTCAGGAGCTGTTTTAACGTTTTTTTCAGCATCCCCTGAACTCACCCTAATGTTTTCCTATGTGTCCATGTACACATCTTCGTTTACAGGCATTTGAATTTACAGTCTTTTTTTTTGAACACAGAAAACTTGCATTCAGCAGTCGATTCTATCAGCATTTCAAACACAAAACGCGGCTAAACATGGCAAATCGCGCTTATAAGCGTTTGCGTCTGAAATTAGTTTTTAACTCTTCCAGTTCCCGATGCTGTGCAGAGCCTTTTTTCATCATGAAAAATGCATGCAAAGCATTTTCAAGGTACTCAGGTGGACAAAACACTGAACACAGGATGTTCCTACCAAACTTGTCACACATTGTAATGACCATTCACACCTCAGACCTCTCCCACCCTTGGAAACAAAAGATATGTTAATGACCATTCACACCTCAAATTCCTCATGAAGACCCCCTGCCAGGTGACCTTAATGACTCCCTCCACCAGACACCTTCCCACCCTTGGAAACAAAAGAAATGTTAATGAGCAACTCACACCTAAGCTAATCTCAACACATACTGCTGTCTCTGCTTCTACTCTCTGTATTTCTCTGAAACAGTCTGAAATAGTTAATAATTTACCACTTTTCAGTGCATTCTGGGCATTTGGGAGGTTCTCCTGTGCTTATCTTTAAAAAACGATTCTAAACGTAAATGTGCATAAACGGGGTATGCAAATGCGGCTAAACGGGCGTTTTTTAACCTACGTTTTCCAGCAGTCAGTTTCCATCATTTAGAAATGTCCCGCGTACATGGGGCCAGGGGCGGACTGACAACTCATGGGGCCCCCAGGCAATAGGGGATCATGGGGCCCCTGTGTCCTTGCCCAAATTCAAAAAAGCCTATGAAAAAGGTACCAGGGGCATCTTATGGGGCCCCCTACTTATCCCGAGCCCTCGGGCAGTGCCTAAGTTTCCAAATGGTCAGTCCGCCCCTGCATGGGGCCTTATTTTTATAGTACATGTAGAGAAAAGTTTTTAACAAAGCTAGAAAAAAAGCTGTTAGGATTGTGTTAGTAGTGTTTAGCAGCATTTAGGAGTGTTTAGCATTTTTTTCTGCTGGAAAAATGATACAAAAAAACTCTGCAAAAATTTTTTTTTTTTCTGCTCCTCGATGCTGAAGCTAAAAAAAATGCTAATAGCCTAAAGTAGTGTGCATGGATACATAGGAGAACACTATTTAGTTTCTTGGAGCAGAAAACAAATGGTGATAACAGATTCTAAGAGCTTAAAAAATGCTAGTGTGCATGGAGCCTTATTGTTTAAAATCAATTTTATTGAAAGTACTAAGAAATATATGTTTAGTTCTATTAGCTAATTATATTTTAATTCTTAAGAGTCGGTGTTTAAATTGGGGCAGGCTAATAGGGGCCCCAGTACATTACTATGCCCAAGGGCCCATGATGCTATTAAGACGGCCCTGAATTGTAGTGAATGTGGGCGGGCACACTAGGGCTGTACATGTTGAATATATCTGAGAGTCTCAGTCCGCCCACCATCGGAAGTGGGGCTGAATTACATCACTGCTTCCTGGAGAAAGAACTACAGAGGGGATGTGCCAAGACCAGTGGCTGGGGGGGATAGGAGGCATAGCAGCCACCGGTCTTACAAACAGGAAACCAAAGAGAATTAACGGTTTGATCTGAAAATGAATAGGCTACTTCAGAGCAACTACTGAGTGAAGCAGAAGATGAATGACAGTCAGTGAAGGTAGGAAATCAGTAAAATAGACATGTAAAGAAGTTTTTGCCCAGAATTTTGCTTTAAGCGTACAGCAATATGAGTGCTGTGTTTTGCCTGCTTGGGATGCACAGGTGTTCCACGCATCCACGTACAGGCAGTCCCAGTCATGGCCTTTGGGATGCAGCCGCTGCAGGATTGCATTAGCAGATGCCTGGAAGTGCCATTTTGAATTATTATACAGTATTTATATAGCGCCAAAAGGTTTGCTCAGCGCTGTACATTATAGTGGGGGACAGTACATGGGACAGTACAGTAACAAAACAATACACGAGGGGTCGCCTGCTCTTTCGAGTATACAATCTAGGAGGGAGGGGATAGAGGTACAGGGGGAAGTGGCTGTGGGGGATGGAGTGGTAGGAAGAGTAGAGGCGTTCGGCTGTTAGGTGAGTGTGGGGTAGGCTTCCCTGAAGAGATGGGTTTTTCAGGGTGCGCCTGAAGGTGAGGATGGTAGGTGACAGTCTGATGGATTGGGGTAGAGAGTTCCAGAGGATGGGGGAAGTCCTGGAGAAGTCCTGCAGTTGGGCGTGGGAGGAGAAGACCAGGGAGCTAGAAAGTAGGAGGTCTTGTGAGGAGCGAAGAGTACGGGTTGGGTGGTATTTGGGTATCAGGTCAGTGAGGTAGTTTGGGGCAGTGTTATGAATGGCTTTGTATGTCAATGTTAGTAATTTGAATTTAATGCGTTGGGCAATCGGAAGCCAGTGGAGGGAATGACAGAGGGGGGTGGCAGAAGAGGAGCGGTTGGTAAGGTGGATGAGTCTGGCCGCTGAATTCAGGATGGACTGAAGCGGGGATAGCCTGAGATGAGGTAGGCCGGTGAGGAGGGAGTTACAGTAGTCCAGGCGTGAGATAATAAGGGAGTGTATGAGTTGTTTAGTAGTGTCTGGGGTGAGGAACGGACGTATCTTGGAGATGTTGTGGAGGTGGAGCCTGCATGAAGTTGCCTGAAGGGAAATGTATGTCTTTTAGGTCTGTCATTTTGTTTTCCCCCACTCCATTCTATATTTTGTACTAACATGTTGATTCATTGTTTTGTATTATACCCAGAATGAGTTAATGAAAATATGCTGTGTCAGTTATGTGTTACAGAACTGAACTCACAATATTCTTCTTCTATTTCTTCTAGCTTAGCCTTGGTAGAGGAGATAGTATCCAATTATTTCTTTATACTAACAGCACCTGTTTCTGTTATGATATAATTAAAAGTCAAATACTTCTGTCCCATATGAAAATAATTGTTGGATACTTGTAACTGATTTCAAGGCCTGAGAAAGTCATGTTCATAGCCTTGACAAGTATCTAGCGAGATTCTGTTGTATGTAGTAGATAAGTGTTTTAAAACAATTTAGAAACTTTTATTCCTGGGAAAGTGAAACTCCGCTTCTCATCACTTTTCAGAATTGACGTCAATGTTGTCTTTTTGTATTCAGCCAATCAATTACTGACAACTCAGCTTTTTGATACCCTGTGCCCCCCACCTTTCTTTTTTCTGTTATATTAATTTTCTTCCCACTAATAAACTTGAGAGATTGATTTCAACTATCACTGTGTGTATGTCTGTTGTCTTTTCTGAGATGAAGTCAATCTTCCCGATGCGTCGTACCTTCAACAGCCTGATAAAGACTGATAGCCAGGGGCTATCGACAACCTTTCATTGCCAGCAATTGGACATGAGGTTGAAAGAATAGGTTTGAGTCCAGGGTGACACCTAGGACTTTGGCTTGCAGGGTGGGATTGATGGTGGCTTTGAATTAATGGAACCACGGCACGTCTTCTAAAGGGCAGCGCATTTCTGTGTGTGTTGGGAAGACGTGATTTTGCGCACATTCCCGACACACATAAGTGAATGTTGCTTTAAGTATGTCCGTGTGAAGAGGACCTTAGTTCTTTGGTCTGGCAGTGTCATTTTTTTATACAAGCTTTAGGACTGTTAGGTACCTGGATCACAGGACTGGACGAGCAGAATGACTAAGACTTTAGGTAGCAGATCATATACATTATACAGTAGAGAAGGTATTTCACTTGTATATATTTAGCTCAGACAATGGAATTAAAAGGTATGTTCAGCTTAAAGCTACACTTTGCCGCTCTGCAAAATTTTTTGCACAATGTTTTTTCACAGGTTACGTCTGGATGAAAAACCCATCATCACGTTTGATCATTTCTATGATCACTTCAAACTGGAAGAAAATAAAAACCCTCCAGACTGGCTGGACCCTATGAAAAGGAAATATAAAGCAGCTGTAAAGACCGCCCACGAGGTTCACCTGGAGCTCAAGGACATGGCTAATCACAGGTGAGGAGGAGGATCTCACCTACACGTGTACCAGATGTGACTTCTTTTTCAGTTCATTCACTCCCAGGCATGGTCCACTGTGGTCATTATCAGCCATCCCTGGAGCGCATGTAGATGGAAATGAAATATTATTCACCTAGGGGTTAGATCTATTTTAAAGTGGTTGTGAACCTCAGACACAAAATATGAACAATGCATATCCCCCTATAGTGTGTACTTGTCTCAATCCAGAGCACTAAGTGTCATTTCTGTCTGCTGCCTCAGCCTCACCACAGTCTTGAGTGAGAGTTCTGTGATGCGCATGACCACACCTGCCTGAAAATGAAGTCGGTAGCGTCCATGACTCCGGTGCCACATTAGAGTGGGGTGTATGCGCATAGATTGAAATGCGCATGCACCAGTGTCTCCGGGTACTAGCGGTTGGCCGCACGTCATCAGGAGTGACACAGCGCACGTGCGTACGATGGGACACATGATTGGAGCAAGGAGACACACCTCCTGTGTCTCCAAGCTATGATGCCCAGCTATTTTTGACAAGTATGAATGACCCGCCCTCCCTTGTTTACATCGCGGAGTGCTAACGCAAACACTTAATTGGCATACAGTGATGGGGATAATTAAATCGTATTTGTGATCGTATCTTATACCCCTTATGTACTACATGATCTGCAGATTTCATCTCCGTCTTGCAGTGTATTTATCCTGACAACAAGCAGTGATGTAGTTTACATTTTTTTTTATATATATATATATATATATATATATATATATTTAGAGAGAATATGACTCTTTAAGGGCGGGGCTTAGCTTACTTAATTTGCACTGATTGGTGGATGTTTTTTTAAATAGTTTCTCTGTGTTATCACAACTTGTCACATGCCTGATGAAGGGGTCCTGCGAGACTCCGAAATGTTGCTCTTTCTGTAACTATGTGCTTGCTTATTACCCACTTGCCCTGCAGAGGATTTACCCGCCTACCTGACCAGGCCATTTTTTTGCGATACGGCGCTGCGTCACTTTAACTGACAATTGTGCGGTCATGCAACATTGCACCCAAATGACATTATGTCCTTTTTTTCCCTACAAATAGACCTTTCTTTCGGTAGTATTTGATCACCTGTGCATTTTTAATTTTTTGTGCTATAAAAAAAACTGTCAATTTTGAAAAAAAAACCCAATATTTTTGACTTTTAAATATAAAACATGTCCAATGAAAAAATGTAAAAAAATCAAATTTTATTATTTAGTTTTATTTAGGCCAAAATGTATTCTGCTACATTTGTTTGCTAGAAAAAAATCTAAATACGTTTAAATTAATAGCGGTGTGGGTAGGGCTCGCATGCACACCCTACCTGGAAATGCTAATCACATATATATATATATATATATATATATATATATATATATATATACACACATGATTTTGCACAGCCCTGTTGCCCTGTAGCAGTACTTCTATTATAGGCAATGGGCAAGTGGTTAAAGCTTTGGACCCATATCACAGAACCTTGGTGTGCTGGTGACATTCTTCCCTTGTTTTCCTCCAATCAGCTGTCAGAGCTCCCCTCACTGATTTAACATCAGCTCCCCGCCCCCTGCTTTTCAGAGCTGAGAGATCCTGTATAGAATCCAGCACTTTGAATGATTATAAGAAGAGAGGGCTTGCTTATAAACAGGTACAACTCACGTAGGAGGATTTGTTTCTTCTCTGTGTATCATCGGAGGTCAGTCAACGTCACTAGGTATAGGTAAGGGTTTATAACCACTTTAATTTAAATTACAAAGAATTTTATTCAATATGATTTTTTTTTTTTTGCAATTATACAAATGATAGAATACCAACCTTCCCTGGAGTGTCTGTTCATTTCTCTCGTATGGTATCCTTGGGTCACATCTGGTATGGATAGACTGGGGTGGATTATTGAACTCCACTGAGACGGAGTGCTGGCATTATTTTGGCACCCAGCACACAAGCTCATTATTGTCAGCGACGGCTCTATGGACAGTTGACTAGAATCTTAATTACTGAAAGATAAGTGTGAGAGATTTCTGAGGTCTGATTGCTCACTATTGCTCTTTACAGCTTTCTTGCAAGCTTTCTACCTTTAAAGAGACCCTGTCACCACACCATTCATTTTACCACCAATCTTCCCATTACATTTTATGTGCATAATGTATCTTGTGCATGTAAAGCTTCCGTTGTGTAGACATCAGAAGGATACAAAAAGGGGGGGGGGGGTTACTGAAACTGGCGCACACAGAATCTGGTGCTGCTGTGCATGGTAGCCAATCAGTTTGTAACTTTTGGTTTGTCCAATTAACCTTTGACAATAAAACCTGGAAGCTTATTGGCTACTATGCACAGCTGCATCACATTCTGTGTGCACCAGTTTTAGTAAATCTCTCCCCCATGGGGTGGCTTTGAGGATCTTATTCAGGCAGCGTTTTTTTTTTAGTGACAATGCTCAATCCCTTTCTCCCAAATGTGCTCCTGTGTTGTCACCCCATCACATGGCTTCTGATATTCTCCCCCATGGGGTAGCTTTGAGGATCTTGTTCAGGACGCTTTTTTTTAATAGGGTGACAACGCTCAATCCCTTTCTCCCAAATGTGCTCCTGTGTTGTCACCCCATCACATGGCTTCTGATATAGACTACGTGTGGATGTTTTAGCACACACCAAAAAAAAGACAATTGTTAATGGTAGACAAGGCGCAGTACACGATAACCCTAGGTTCACATCTGTGCGGGTGGTGCACGAAAATCCGTGCAGCCGCACCACCAGCACAGAGAATTGCGGACCCGGTGGGCAGGTGCCATTAGTTCTAATGGCATACCGCCCGCACTGGGAAACGCAACTGTACTGGGAACCGAGGTTCCCGTGCAGGCTGCGTTTTCCAAAGTAGTGCAGGGACTTCTTTCCCTGCGTGTCACATTCAAATGAATGGGCTCTCGTGTACGTGAAAAACGTGTCCCGCACAGCTGCATATATGTGAACCGGGAGTTAGATCTACTTTAGGATACTTTAATTTAGGTTACTTTAAGTTACCATTAATTGATTATTATTATTATTATTTTTTTTGGTACGATAAATTAAAGTGGTTGTAAACCCTTATATATACCCAGTGAAGTGACGGGCCTCAGATGATACACAGAGATGAAACAAACTCCCCTACATAAGGTGTACCAGTTTATTTGCAATCTTCTACTATCTACATCAGTTCAAAGTGATGCTCAAAATAATTAAAGGAACACTTTTTAATCAGAGTATAGCATCAAGTCAATGAAACTCCTGGGATATTGATCTGGTGAGTTAAGTAGCAGAGGGGGTTGTTAATCAGTTTCAGCTGCTTTGGTGTTAATGAAATTAACTACAGGTGCACTAGATGGGCAACAATGAGTCAACTCCCAAAACAGGAATGGTTTTACAGGTGGAGACCACTGACATTTTTTTCCCTACTCATCTTTTCTGACTGTTTTTCACTAGTGTTGCACTTGGCTAGGGTCAGTGTCACTACTGGTAGCATGAGGCAATACCTGGATCTACGGAGGTTGCACAGGCAGTCCAAGTCCTCCAGGATGGCACATCAATACGTGTCATTGCCAAAGAGTTTGCTGAGTCTCCCAGCACAGTCTCAAAAGCATGGAGGAGATTCCAGGAGACAGGCCGGTACTCTAGGAGAGCTGGACAGAGCTGTAGAAGATCCTTAACCCATCAGCAGGACCGGTATCTGCTACTTTGTGCAAGGAGGAACAGGATGAGCGATGCCAGAGCTCTACAAAATGACCTCCAGTAGGCCACTGGTGTGAATGTCTCTGACCAAACAATCAGAAACAGACTTCATGAGGGTGGCCTGAGAGCCCAACATCCTCTAGTGGGCCCTGTGCTCACTGCCCGGCACCATAGAGTTCAATTGGCATTTGCCATTGAACACCAGAATTGGCAGGTCCACCACTGGTGCCCTTTTCCCAGATGAGATCAGGTTCACCCTGAGCACATGTGACAGATGTGAAAGGGTCTGGAGAAGCCGTGGAGAACATTATGCTGCCTGTAACATCGTTCAGCATGACCGTTTTGGTGGTGGGTCAGTGATGGTCTGGGGAGGCATATCCATGGAGGGACGCACAGATCTCTACAGGCTAGACAATGGCGCCCTGACTGCCATTAGGTATCGGGATGAAATCCTTGGACCCATTGTCAGACCCTACGCTGGTGCAGTGGGTCCTGGGTTCCTCCTGGTGCACGACAATGCCCGGCTTCATGTGGTGAGAGTTTGCAGGCAGTTCCCGGAGGAAGAAGAAATTTATACCATTGAATGGCCCCCCACGCTCGCCTGACCTAAATCCAATAGAACACCTCTGGGATGTCATGTTTTGGTCCATCCGACAACAGGTTGCACCCTGGACTGTCCAGGAGCTCAGTGATGCCCTGGTCCAAATCTGGGAGGAAATCCCCCAGGACACCATCCATTTTCTCATTAGGAGCATGCCCCGATGTTGTCAGGAACGCATACAAGCACGGGGGGGGGGCATACAAACTACTGAGACCATTCTGAGTTGCTGCAATGAAATTTCAGCAAAATGGACTAGCCTGCTGCATCATTTTTTCACTTTGATTTTCGGGGTGTCTTTGAATTCAGTCCTCTGTAGGTTGATAATTTTCATTTCCATCAAATGATGGGGCATCCTTACATTCCTAACACATTACCCCGTCCATATCAGTATAGAGATCCAGCATGAGATTTTTGCCCCATTGAGATCTGATGTGTTTTCAAAGTGTTCCTTTCATTTTTTTGAGCAGTGTACAAAGCTTGTCTAAGAGTTCAGAAAAAAGGGAGCGGGAAGGTGATTCTGCAGAGCTCAGTGAGGGAGAGTTCTGAGAGCTGATTGGAGGTAAGGGACACAGTGCGCCTCTTCTCTGATGCAAACAGTGGGCTGGCTCCTGGGAGGAGTTATGGAAATATAAAAATGCCTTGATGGGTGGTGTCAGTCCATAGGAGTGGATGTTCCTAAGCAGGATGTAGTTGCCTGCAGACCATTCTAGGTAATATTCTGTGATTGAAAGAACTGAAATCCAATGGATAATAGGGGCGGGGCCAGGCACAGCCAGGCTGGGGAGGAAAGCGCTATATCATGATGGACGTCCTCCAGCTAGGAAATGAGGCTGGTTCTATCTGACTTGCTGCAGCTTCCAATGCACATTGTGAGAAGCTCACAGTGTGCAGTGAAATCAGAGTCAGTCATTTCAGTCCAGGAGAGGAGCTGTTACAACTTTGCAAGACTGAAGGGAAGCCTGGAGTTAAAGTGCGTCTTTTAGCCCGGGTACTCACTATGCGGACCCCGCATGCATTTCAGTGAATTACATGCAAATGTCTGCGTGGTGCGATTTGAGCCATACATCTTGTACCAAAAAGGTGCAGAACCCTTTTTTTTAAATCTGCACCTGAATTGCATCGCATAGGTGTTCTCTCCCATGTGATGCAATTTCTGGCAATCACATCGCGTTCTGCGATCTGTTTCGGGGTGTCATTAATTTATGATTGACACCTGCACCAGATCGCACGAACACAATGCGTTTACAATGCGGTGCGGGAAATGCACAGGATTCGCAGCTTCAACCGCGCCACATTGGTGTGAACCCGAGCTTAGTTACTTTGCGGCGCATCAATTGCAAAGTAACCCACAACATCCACAACACCGATTATGGAACATCACCTATATTTATTTTACATTTACCCTAGGTTCACATCTGTGCGGGTGGTGCTGCTGCCGATCCGCACAGATAAATGCGGAGCTGTGGGCGGGTGCCATTTGTTCTAATGGCATGCCGACCGTACTGGAAAATGCAACCGTACTGGGAACCGAGGTTCCCGTGCGAGCTGCGTTTTCCAAAGAAGTGCAGGGACTTCTTCCCTGCGTGTCACGGGCACGGGAGTACATTCAAATGAATGGGCTCTTGTGCCCGCGCAAAACGCAGCCCGCGCGGCCACATATATGTGAACCAGGGGTTATCGCTTACCTGCTGAAACTGTTATTTGTTCATTCCAATTACAGAAATACTATGTTATGTTAAAAATGCTTTCCCCATAATAGGACTGCAGGGATTATTATTATTTATTATTATTATATTTCAGGATTTATATAGCGCCAACAGTTTCCACAGCACTTTATATAATAAAGGGGAACAGTACAGTTACAATGGCATCCAATACAAGAGGGTAGCAATGGCCCTGAGCCTGGGAGCTTACAATCTAATAAATATAGACATCCAATACATACAGTATATAATAACTACGTCTGGTCACTGTGCTTAAAAACTTTTGCAGATATTTTGAACTCCTGAAGCTTTTCCCAAAGGATTCCCTGACCTCATCGGAGTTCCACAGCTCCTTGTCCAAGCTGGGTGTAAGGATGGCTGAAGAAGAGTTCCAGAAGTTGTGGCAGCGGTAAGACAACCTGCAGGCCCATATTCCTGGCCGAGCTTCCAGTATGTCAACCCTCACCTGGTAACACAGTCCATTCAGCTTATAACAGGAAATGAAAGGGAAAGCATTTGTGTATAGATATAAAAACAAATTATAAACACTTCTTTTCCTTTTTTATAAGTGATCACATACCCTCTGTTCTCAGCTGCATAAGGAGCTCAGAGAGCTGGGGGAGGTGGGGGGTGCTGGGGTGGGCTGTGCCCCCCCCCCCAGATTTTAGTTGTCCCCCCCCCCCCCCCCCAGGTCACTGGGAGAGTGCATCCATTGATTCATGAGCCAGATTGATGCAGGTAAGGAGGCACTTTGATGGGGACTATCCATGTAAGGGGGCACTCTGTTTTTGACACCTGATGTACAGTTGTGACCAAAATTATTCAACCGAAGTATCGACACTGAAATTGAGTTTTTGGGCCAGTTTGACATTGCTTTTGATCATTCAGTCATCTTGCTTACATTTACATTAAAGAGGCACTTGTAGGTCAGACAAATATAACATAACAGTTATAATGAAATAACCACAAATGTCTTTTCTGTGCTCACAGCATTATCAGTTTTATTCAACCCCCAAGTGACATTCAATCTTAGTACTTAGTACAGCATCCTTTTACAGTTTTATAACAGCTTTTAAACGTGAAGCATAGCTTGACACAAGTGTCTTGCAGCGATCTACGGGTATCTTCGCCCATTCTTCATGGGCAAAGGCCTCCAGTTCAGTCACATTCTTAGGCTTGCGCACTGCAACTGCTTTCTTTAAGTCCCACCAGAGGTTCTCAATCGGATTTAAGTCTGGTGACTGCGATGGCCACTCCAAAATGTTCCAGCCTTTCCTCTGCAACCATGCTCTAGTGGACTTGGAGGTATGCTTGGGATCATTGTCCTCAGTTGAAAGGTCCAACGTCTCCCAAGCCTCAGGTGTGTGACGGACTGCATCACGTTTCCATCCAATATCTCCTGGTACTGAAGAGAATTCATGGTACCTTGCACACGCTGAAGCTTCCCTGTACCTGCAGAAGCAAAACAGCCCCAAAGCATGATTGACCCTCCACCATGCTTCACAGTAGGCAAGGTGTTCTTTTCATCATAGGCCTTGTTCTTCCTCCTCCAAACATAGCGTTGATCCATGGGCCCAAACAGTTCTAATTTTGTTTCATCAGTCCACAGAACACTATCCCACAACTTTTGTGGTTTGTCCACATGGCTTTTGGCATACTGCAGTCGACTCTTCTTATTCTTTGGAGACAGCAAGGGGGGTACGCCTGGGAGTTCTGGCACGGAGGCCTTCATTACGCAGTGTGCGTCTTATTGTCTGGGCTGAAACTTCTGTACCCACATCTGACAAATCTTTTCTCAGTTCCTCAGCAGTCACACGGGACTTCTCTCCACTCTACGCTTCAGGTAGCGCACAGCAGTCGAAGTCAGCATCTTCTTTCTGCCACGACCAGGTAGCGTTTCAACAGTGCCCTTTGCCTTGAATTTGCGAATGATGCTTCCTAAGGTGTCTCTTGGTATGTTTAACATCTTTGCAATCTTCTTATAGCCATTGCCCTTCCCTGTGAAGAGAAATCACCTCTTCTCTTGTCTTCCTGGACCATTCTCTTGCCTTCACCATGTTTGTAACCACACCAGTAAATGTCTAGAAGGAGCTGAGTATCACAGTCATTTTAAAGCTGCCTAATTGGTGCTTATTATGCTTGATTGCTGCTCGGTGACATCCACAGGTGTTTTCAATACCTGATGGAAAGCACCTGTATGAACCTCTGTTCTTCAGAGTGGTAGTCTTTAAGGGGTTGAATAATTGTGGCAATGAAGAAACCACATAAGAACCATTTACTACTGTATTACATAAACAATTGATGTCATTTTAGTTGCATTTGGGTAGTTACAACGTCCTTGTAGGATTTGATTCTGAATACAATTCCAAATGTACACTATAGTCCCTAAACCCCTTTACAGCATTGGGGGGTTGAATAATTTTGGTCACAACTGTAAGGAGCACTCTGATGGGCATAATTGATCCTATGTAAGAGGACACTCTGATGGGGACAACTGATGTAAGGGGGCACTCTGATGGGGACAACTGATGTAAGGGGGCACTCTCTGATGGGAACACCTGATGTAAGGGGCACTCTGATGGGGACAACTGATGTAAGGGGGCACTCTGATGGGGACAACTGATGTAAGGGGGCACTCTGATGGGAACACCTGATGTAAGGGGCACTCTGATGGGGACAACTGATGTAAGGGGGCACTCTGATGGGAACACCTGGTGTAAGGGGGCACTCTGATGGGAACATCTGATGTAAGGGGGCACTCTGATGGGAACACCTGATGTAAGAAGGCAGTTTGTTGGGAACACCTGATGTAAGGGGCACTCTGATGGGAACACCTGATTTAAGGGAGCACTCTGATGGGAACACCTGATGTAAGGGCACTCTGATGGGAACACCTGATGCAAGGGGGCACTCTGATGGGAACACCTGATGTAAGGGCACTCTGATGGGAACACCTGATGTAAGGGGGCACTCTGATGGGGAACACCTGATGTAAGGGGCACTCTTATGGGAACACCTGATGTAAGGGGGCACTCTGATGGGAACACCTGATGCAAGGGGGCACTCTGATGGGAACACCTGATGTAAGGGCACTCTGATGGGAACACCTGATGTAAGGGGGCACTCTGATGGGGGAACACCTGATGTAAAGGGGCACTCTTATGGGAACACCTGATGTAAGGGGGCACTCTGATGGGAACACACCTGATGTAAGGGGCACTCTGATGGGAACACCTGATGTAATGGGCACTCTGATGGGAACACCTGATGTAAGGGGGCACTGTGATGGGAACACCTGATGTAAGGGGGCACTCTGATGGGAACACCTGATGTAAGAAGGCAGTCTGTTGGGAACACCTGATGTAAGGGGCACTCTGATGGGAACACCTGATGTGAGGGGGCGGTCTGTTGGAAACACCTGATGTAAGGGGGCACTCTTATGGGAACACCTGATGTAAGGGGCCACTCTTATGGGAACACCTGATGTAAGGGGCACTTTGATGGGAATACCTGATATATGGGGGCACTCTGATGTGAACACCTGATGAAAGGGGTGGTCTGTTAGAAACACCTGATGTAATGGGGCACTCTGATGGGAACACCTGATGTAAGGGGGCACTCTTATGGGGACAGCTGATGTAAGGGGCACTCTGATGGGGGCACCTGATGTAAGGGGGCACTCTGATGGGGGTACCTGATGCAAGTGGCACTCTGATGGGGGTACCTGATGTAAGGGGGCAGTCTGATGGGAACACCTGATGTAAGGGCCACTCTGATGGGGCACCTGATGTAAGGGCACTCTGATGGGAACCTGATGTAAGGGGGCACTCTGATGGGAACCTGATGTAAAGGGGGACTCTGATGGGAACCTGATGTAAATGGGGCTCTGATAAGGACATTTGATATAAGGGGGCACAGGTTCTGTTTATTCACCATAATCTAATGACAACCTAATACACAATAGTGTTTCCCAGGTTGTGACACTGTGATAGACTGTCAGTGACTCACACACAGTGTTGACATTATGGCCCCTGACTTTTTTTCTGCACCCCCAGATCAGATCAGGTTACAGCAGCGCATAGTTCTTTCCAGTAAATGGCTGTGCGGGGGTGGGAAGGGGGTTGCCAGGTAAAATCTGATCAGTGGAGGAGTGCAGGCTGGGTCCCCAGTACAGCTAGAGAACTGATGACGCTATGGTCTCATGCCTAGTGTGGTCAGTTTTTAATAGGTAAGCAGAGGGACTGGCAGAATCATCAGGGATTTCACACGAAGAAAGCAATACAAAGAGAACCAGATACTTTTTCATACAAGTACATGGTAGAGGAGGCACATATCAGGAATATGAAATGTTGGGTTTACATATTCTTTCAGTATTAGCATTTACTGAATATTGGAATCAGTTAATGTGTATTTCTAACCAAATTTTGTTTTATTTTGGATACGATAGGTAAAGGTTGGAACCCCTGTCAGGTTTTTATTGCTGTCCGCTCAAAGCTAAAGTTTACTCTGCTTATCCTTTTTATTCGATGGTTTCTCCCTCACTCCCTCATTAAAATGCTTATTAAATTTTTACATAAAACCATTCTGGCTTTGTTACCTTATTTTACCTCCAGTAATATCATCACTGCGTCTCTATGCTTCTCTATGCAATACAGGCAGATCATGGCTGGTGGGAGGGGCCAGCAGGGTGCTGTACATAGCCTAATGAAAACATCACAGCACCCTGCCTCAGTACTCCTCTCAAGAGCCTTCAGTCCTGATGCAAACAGTGGGAGGAGTTATGCAAATATCAGAATGCCTTGATGAGTGGGTGTCACTCTGGAGGAGTGGGCATTCCTAGGTAGGTTGAGCAACCAGGATTCACCCTCACATTTTGTTCTGTTGACCATTGTCCCCGGTAATAAACTTAATGGGAGATCCAACATTTCTCAGTTTCTGGCTAGAGATATACATTGAGTTTCCAAATTATTGTCACTGATGGGATTTTTTTCCTTTGTAGATACGTCAGAGAAGACAGCGGGATTCTGGGGATTGAGGACCTGCGTTGTCACCTAGGAGCAAAGAGTGCGCAGGATGTATATGAAGATCGTAGCACTCTGCTCTCCGGACTGCAAAAAGTGTCTCAAAGCCACAGAGAGCAAAGTAGGAGGAGAAGTAGACTAAGGATGTCTCTGTGAAGGTGTCCAGGTCATGCTATGACGACGTTTCGCTACTCATCCAAGCGACTTCCTCAGTACTGATGAGCAGGGGCGGACTGACAACTCATGGGGCCCCCGGGCAATAGGGGATCATGGGGCCCCTGTGTCCTTGCCCAAACTCAAAAAAGCCTATGAAAAAGGTACCAGGGGCATCTCATGGGGCCCCCTATTGACCCCAGGCCTTTGGGCAGTGCCTGAGTTTTCAAATGGGCAGTCTGCCCCTGCTGATGAGTATCAGGAACCTTCCGCAGCATCGATCCAGCATACTGTTGGATTCTGAGTGACATCAGATAGAACGTGCAAGTCTGACCTTTATCTCAGGTCTAGGGAAACCTAAAGTGTTACGGAACACACAACAGTACAATCAGTCTGTATATGCACTAAAGCATGCTTGTTATACTCACTGTGGAACCTAAGGGGTTAATCCTTTGCATTGTGTAAAAAAAGGCTGTTTGATCCTGTGTTTTCTGATCCCCCCCTTCTTCTACTGTCCCCAGTGCATCTGCCATAGTACAGAGCAGCAGTGGCAAGTCTGCACATGCTCAGTTTGGTGTGTATTGCTAGAGTTTTTTTTTTTTTTGGGAGAGTGCATATGATCAGCACAGGGTCAATCAGCACTGTCCAGACAGAGGGTCAGGGGTCATGCAGGCTCATAGGACAGTCAGAGGAGAATGGAAATTCCTCCTACATGATTAACCACTGCTCCTCTGGACACTGATAGAAGTTACAAGACTGCTGTTTTAGAGAAAACATATTTAGCAGTTTATATTTACTAAACAAATTGCATTTCCATATTGTGTGCACTGTGGGAGACCGGATATAGTGAATGCAGGGCCCTGGGAGAGCAGATATAGTGAATGCAGGGTCCTGGGAGACCGGATATAGTGAATGCAGGGTCCTGGGAGACCAGATATAGTGAATGCAGGGTCCGGGGAGACCAGATATAGAGAATGCAGGGTCCAGGGAGACCAGATATAGTGAATGCAGGGTCCTGGGAGACCAGATATAGTGAATGCAGGGTACGGGGAGACCAGATATAGTGAATGCAGGATCCAGGGAGACCAGGTATAGTGAATGCAGGTTCCAGGGAGACCAGATATAGTGAATGCAGGGTCCGGGGAGACCAGATATAGTGAATGCAGGGTCCAGAGAGACCAGATATAGTGAATGCAAGCGTCCTGGGAGACCAGCTATAGTGAATGCAGGGTACGGGGAGACCAGATATAGTGAATGCAGGATCCAGGGAGACCAGTATAGTGAATGCAGGTTCCAGGGAGACCAGATATAGTGAATGCAGGTTCCAGGGAGACCAGATATAGTGAATACAGGGTTCTGGGTTTAGTAACACTCAGGGTGGATTTGATTTAAATCACTAGTGGAAAGGCTCGATTTAAATCATAATTTTTTAAAGAGCGACTGTCATCTCTGTCCCGCAGTGGCTCTTCCTCTCACCCGCTGTTGACTCACCGACGGTCCCATTCACTTTAATGGGATGGCTGGTGATGAGGCAAGGACACAACAAGGCAAGGGACATGGCGGGAGCAGGTGAGTGGATGCCTACTAACAGGCGCTGCCATGATGGATCTAAAATGACAGGTGCTCTTTAAATGTAAGGAATCCGACTCATTCTTGCTGATAGTTGGAATCTTTAATATTTGCAAACCAATTGAAGATTTCCTTTTTAGAATAATAAGCTATCAGGTTAGTAAAACAGCGATATCAGAACCAATATTAGGTTAATAGATTACTCACACATAGCCGGAGAACTACTCAAATTCTTTTATTTCATGTTTTTTTCTCATGGTTACTCTGAAATTGTGTGAATGCCTCAATACAGTGCGTGTTATCTCAGCTTGCAGAGCTTGGATTCATTAAATGAGTATTCCAAAAATGTACATATTGCAGAATATACAGCCTTATACTCAGGGGTGGACTGACAACTCATGGGGCCCCCGGGCAATAGGGGATCATGGGGCCCCTGTATCCTTGCCCAAACTCAAAAAAAACCTATGAAAAAGGTACCAGGGGCATCTCATGGGGCCCCCCACTGACCCCGGGCCCTTGGGCAGTGCCCGAGTTTCCAAATGGTCAATCCGCCCCTGCTCATGCTACATAACTAAGTTCCATTTCAGGCTGAATAACTATATTATTAATGTATCTTAAATAGAAAACTATCTTTAGATATATTTTTACTCCAAAAGCATTTTATTAAAATAAATTTGATAAAAATAAAAAAATAATTCCGATTTAAATTAAAAAAAATCAGATTTTTTTTTCTATAAAAAAAAAAATCATCGATATTTACCCACCCTGGTAACACTTGAAGGTTAAACAATGTTTTGAGTTTAGTACTGCTTTAAGCATGCTGTACTGTATTTACCTTCCCTGTACTGCTGCTGCCCTCATCTGTTGCTAGGATGCTTGAGAAATTCCTAGTATTTCAGATTCCGGTTAGTGTTTTGCTTTGCTTTGCCCTACACAGGCAGAACACAGGTTAATATTTAGCAAATTGTACCCAAATATTTTTGTTTTTTAGTAATCCATAGGGAACTTTCCCTGCTCCGTATCTGCATGAGCTGTGAAGTCAGTATAGTAGTATCATTTATTGAAGGGTTTTGGGATGCTTTTGGCATTTTTTTGCTAGAAAATTTCGTAGAACCCCAAAATATTATATATTTTTTAAGCAGAGGCCCTAGAGAATAAAATGGTAGATGTTGCAATTTTTTTTTATATCACACAGTATTTAATGCACAAAAAACAATATAATATCCAATTGTATGGTAAAATATGAAAGATGACATTATGCCGAGTAATTAAATATCAAACATGTCAAGCTTTAAAATTGCACACAAATAGAAACAAACTACTTAAAAATCTCCATAGGTGTTGCTTTTAAAGCTTTTACCAGTTTAGAGTTACACAAGTGGTCTCGTGCTAGAATTTTTGCTCTCTCTCAATTTTTCGGCCATACGTGGTGTGGTGTGGTGCGATCGCCACTTACATAGGATTGCTGGACTGATGTGTGCATTCATCTTGCGCGCGAGCATGGGGGCACTTTTACATTTTTTAATTATTAGTTATTTGATTTTTTTACACTGTCACTTTCATGTTTTTATCACTTTTCCTGAGACTTTGACAAGTATGCTTATATTAGGCTCCATGTACACGGAACACTCTGAAGAATGGAAACTGATTGCTGGAAAACGTAGGTTAAAAAAACGTCTGTTTAGCCGCGTTTACATACCGCGTTTGCGTTTTAAAACTGTTTTTTAAAGATAACATAAGGAGACCTTCCAAAATGCCCTGAAAAACAGTAAAAAATTAACTATTTCAGACATTTTGAGAGAAATAGAGAGAGCAGAAGCAGAGAGAGCAGTATGTGTTGAGATTAGCTGTCTTTTTTTTTTTGTGGTGTTTGGATGTGTTCCAGCTCATTTCTGTGCAGAGATTATCGCAGCAGTGTCTAACATATTTTCTTTCATTCGAAACCTCAAAGTATGATGTACCGGGTCCATTTGAGTACCGGGAAAACACTTTGCATGCATTTTTCATGATGAAGAAAGGCTCTGGACAGCATCTGGAAATGGAAGAGTTAAAAAAAATTTCCAAACACAAATGCTTATAAACGTGGTTAGCCGCGTTTGAAACGCTGATAAAATCTACTCCAGAACGCAAGTTTGGTGCGTTAAAAAAAAGCCTGTAAACTCAACTGCCTGTAAACGACTGTAAACGACTATATGTACATGGATACATAGGAAAACATTAGGGAGCAGGGGCGGACTCATGGGGGCCCCCGGGCAATAGGGGATCATGGGGCCCCTGTGTCCTTGCCCAAACTCAAAAAAGCCTATGAAAAAGGTACCAGGGGCATCTCATGGGGCCCCCTACTGACCCCGGGCCCTCGGGCAGTGCCCGAGTTTCCAAATGGTCAGTCCGCCCCTGTTAGGGAGAGTTCAGGGGCTGCTGAAAAAAACACAGAAAAGCTCCTAAACGTCAGTTTATCAGCTGCAGTGTACATGGAGCCTTACTGTAATATTCTTTATATCCAGTTAGAAGGAAACCGATCGGTGTGGAGTGGACACCGAGCTCCGGGATTTCCGGGGGATGAGCAAATCCACAGCTGCAATATTACAGTACTATAACCATACTTTTCAAAGTCTCAGGAAAAGTGGAAAGTATGGTCCATATAAGAGGATCCTTTGATACATCACGGAGGGGACATCCGAGGATAACACAGCTGAGTACATTCATTTAAAGCGTGTACGACCCTGTTTGGGTCAGAGCTGGAGGTAAGCGCACATGCTAGCTGGTGGAGGAGCACAAGCGCTGGTCACTGGTGGATTCACAGATTATTATTGAAGATTCTGTTATTGCACATATTGGGACTTTATACTATTTATGTGATTTCACTTTGAGGTTTTATTGAATTTTTTGGTACATTTGTGCAATTTTGTCACTATGAAGCACTTTGCAGTCAGTTTGATTATTTCACTGTGTTGCTGATTTATTTATTATGCAAATAGTTTTTTGAATATTTATTGGTCAGTCACTTTATACACATTTTGTTGGTTGTAGTTATTTTATCACTATAAGTTTATTATGTTTATGTGATTATTTATCTGTTACTACGACTACAGTGAGGAACAGAAGTATTTGAACACCCTGCGATTTTGCAAGTTCTCCCACTTAGAAATCATGGAGGGGTCTGAAATTCACATTGTAGTGCATTCCCACTCTGAGAGACAGAATTAAAAAAAAAAATTCAGGAAATCCCATTGTATGATTTTTAAAGAATGTATTTGTCTTGCACTGCTGAACATAAGTATTTGAACACCTGAGAAAATCAGTGTTAATATTTGGTACAGAAGCCTTTGTTTGCAATTACAGAGGTCAAACGTTTCCTGTAGTTCTTGACCAGGTTTGCACTGCAACAGGGATTTTGGCCCACTCCTCCACACAGATCTCCTCTAGACCTGTCAGGTTTCGGGGCTGTCGCTGAGCAACACGGAGTTTCAGCTCCCTCCAAAGATGTTCTTTTGGATTTAGGTCTGGAGACTGGCTAGGCCACTCCAAAACCTTGATATGCTTCTTACGGAGCCACTCCTTGGTTATCCTGGCTGTGTGCTTCGGGTCGTTGTCATGTTGGAAGACCCAGCCACGACCCATCTTCAATACTCTGACTGAGGGAAGGAGGTTTTTGCTCAAAATCTCACAATAAATGGCCCCATTCATCCTTTCCTTAATACAGTGCAGTCGTCCTGTCCCCTTCACAGAGAAGCACCCCCAAAGCATGATGTTACCACCCCCATGCTTCACAGTAGGGATGGTGTTCTTGGGATGCAACTCATCCTTCTTTTTCCTCCAAACACGACGAGTGAAGTTTAGACCAAAAAGTTCTACTTCGGTCTCATCTGACCACATGAATTTCTCCCATGCCCTCCTCTGGGTCATCCAGATGGTCATTGGCAAACTTCAGACGGGCCTGGACATGTGATGACTTGAGCAGGGGAACCTTCCGTGCAATGCATGATTTGAAACCATGACAGCGTAGTGTTCTACCGACAGTGACCTTTGAAACTGTGGTCCCCAGCTCTCTTCATGTCATTGACCAGCTCCTCCCTTGTAGTTCTGGGCTGATTCCTCACCTTCCTTATCATCAGTGATACCCCACGAGGTGAGATCTTGCATGGAGCCCCAGTCCGAGGGAGACTGACAGTCGTCTTTAGCCTCTTTCATTTTCTAACAATTGCTCCAACAGTTGATCTATTTTCACCAAGCTGCTTGGCAGTTGCCCCGTAGCCCTTTCCAGCCTTGTGGAGGTCCACAATTTTGTCTCTGGTGTCTTTTGACAGCTCTTTGGTCTTGCCCATGGTAGTAGTTGGCGTCTGACTGACTGTGGGGTGGGACAGGTGTCTTTAAAAAGCTCAGACAGGTGCTACTAAGTTAGATTAATGAGTGAGTAGAGGTGGGCTTTTTAAAGGCACAGTAACAGGTCTTTGAGAGCCAGAATTCTTGCTGTTTCTTAGGTGTTCAAATACTTATGTTCAGCAGTGCAAGACAAATTCTTTAAAACTCATACAATGTGATTTCCTGATTTTTTTTTTTTAAATTCTGTTCTCTCTCAGAGTGGGAATGCACCTACAATGTGAATTTCAGACCCCTCCATGATTTCTAAGTGGGAGAACTTGCAAAATCGCAGGGTGTTCAAATACTTCTGTTCCTCACTGTACTTATTGTTTTCAAGTGCTTTGTAGGGTGTTTACTTTTAAGTTATTTTTTGAGTAGCGCAGTGTCATATTTTATTTTAATTTTGATTTAACACTGGCGGGAACACTGTTGGGTGCTTGCTGCAACTCATATACAGTTGTGACCAAAATTATTCAACCCCCAATGCTGTAAAGGGGTTTAGGGACTATAGTGTACATTTGGAATTGTATTCAGAATCAAATCCTACAAGGACGTTGTAACTACCCAAATGCAACTAAAATGACATTCAATTGTTTATGTAATACAGTAGTAAATGGTTCTTATGTGGTTTCTTCATTGCCACAATTATTCAACCCCTTAAAGACTACCACTCTGAAGAACAGAGGTTCATACAGGTGCTTTCCATCAGGTATTGAAAACACCCTTGGATGTCACCGAGCAGCAATCAAGCATAATAAGCACCAATTAGGCAGCTTTAAAATGACTGTGATACTCAGCTCCTTCTAGACATTTACTGTGTGGTTACAAACATGGTGAAGGCAGAGAATGGTCCAGGAAGACAAGAGAAAAGGTGATTTCTCTTCACAGGAAGGGCAATGGCTATAAGAAGATTGCAAAGATGTTAAACATACCAAGAGACACCTTAGGAAGCATCATTCGCAAAATTCAAGGCAAAGGGCACTGTTGAAACGCTACCTGGTCGTGGCAGCAGAAAGAAGATGCTGACTTCGACTGCTGTGCGCTACCTGAAGCGTAGAGTGGAGAGAAGTCCCCGTGTGACTGCTGAGGAACTGAGAAAAGATTTGTCAGATGTGGGTACAGAAGTTTCAGCCCAGACAATAAGACGCACACTGCGTAATGAAGGCCTCCGTGCCAGAACTCCCAGGCGTACCCCCTTGCTGTCTCCAAAGAATAAGAAGAGTCGACTGCAGTATGCCAAAAGCCATGTGGACAAACCACAAAAGTTGTGGGATAGTGTTCTGTGGACTGATGAAACAAAATTAGAACTGTTTGGGCCCATGGATCAACGCTATGTTTGGAGGAGGAAGAACAAGGCCTATGATGAAAAGAACACCTTGCCTACTGTGAAGCATGGTGGAGGGGTCAATCATGCTTGGGGCTGTTTTGCTTCTGCAGTACAGGGAAGCTTCAGCGTGTGCAAGGTACCATGAATTCTCTCAGTACCAGGAGATATTGGATGGAAACGTGATGCAGTCCGTCACACACCTGAGGCTTGGGAGACGTTGGACCTTTCAACAGGACAATGATCCCAAGCATACCTCCAAGTCCACTAGAGCATGGTTGCAGAGGAAAGGCTGGAACATTTTGGAGTGGCCATCGCAGTCACCAGACTTAAATCCGATTGAGAACCTCTGGTGGGACTTAAAGAAAGCAGTTGCAGTGCGCAAGCCTAAGAATGTGACTGAACTGGAGGCCTTTGCCCATGAAGAATGGGCGAAGATACCCGTTAGATCGCTGCAAGACACTTGTGTCAAGCTATGCTTCACGTTTAAAAGCTGTTATAACTGTAAAAGGATGCTGTACTAAGTACTAAGATTGAATGTCACTTGGGGGTTGAATAAAACTGATAATGCTGTGAGCACAGAAAAGACATTTGTGGTTATTTCATTATAACTGTTATGTTATATTTGTCTGACCTACAAGTGCCTCTTTAATGTAAATGTAAAGCAAGATGACTGAATGATCAAAAGCAATGTCAAACTGGCCAAAACACTCAATTTCAGTGGGGGTTGAATAATTTTGTCAGGTCACAACTGTACTTAAGGGGTTACTGGGAGTGCAGGAGGATTTATTTTTATTTTTATATATTTGATATATTATCGAATCAGATGGATTGAAATCGAAGGATTTGATATTTTCAGACGCTAGTCCAACACACCAAGAGAAATGGCATGAGCTGATTGGACAATATCGACTGGCGTAATGTGCATCCGAATTAATGAATGGAATGAAATTCTGACCCATTAGTTATCCAAAGTTAAGGACATACACCCATCACATACGTCCACACACAGACAGGTAGAGCTGGGAAAGTGCGGGGTGTGTCTTTTCCTAGTGAAGGGGCGTGTCTTACTAGAGAGAGTATGTCCGACCAGGTCTGTTAGATTATGGAGTGTACTGTGATCTGTGGTCAGACTGGTGCTTATTGGACTATAGAGTCATATGTAGACAACACTGCCCAACTACAACAGGGAAGTGACGGTAGGGCATATAGAAGTTGTTAATGCAACAACAATTTTCATATGGACATTTATATGTCAAGAATCTGCAAATCTATATGTGAAATACAGTCATGAAAATATGTTACAGTAAATATGTAAAAATTAAAACTGACCTTTTAGGTAGTGATGAGAGATATAGATTAGTATACCCTACTATCCTCTCGCATGTTTATGACTGCTAAATTCTTTCAGTCTGATGTACTAATGTGTTCTTCCTAAGAACTAGAGTAATATCCACATAATAACCAACCTGATACATTTTAGGGCACACTTCAAATTGATTTGTAGAAGTAAAGGAACTCCAGAACACACTCATTGTCTCTAACAACACATTCTGTTTTGCCAGAAATGAGTACAGGGGTTGGATCGCGATCAAGAAATGAGAGGAAGTTGTCGCTCAGCATTGAGAAGTGGTTGAAGAGAGATTCAGAGAGGGGGTTCGAGCCATGATGGCCGAATTCCTGGTGTGTGATCCAGAGAGGACCCACAAGGTGAGTTGGTGTCTCCTCTTTGAAGAGTCATCCAAGTCATGTAGAAACATCATGGACAATATTATCAAAATCATTTGAAAGTGGTGTGTTCCTTGGCATTGTCATTGCCACCATTTAAAATAATGCTTAAGACAAGGTAGGCAAGCTGTATCACGTTGGACTTAATAGAAATGAAATTACTCCAATAGGCCACCAATCAGATTCCAGGATGACCAGAGAGTTTGATCTCATTGGAGGCTGGTGGGAAGAAACTCCATTTTCTTTAGTAAGATTAATACTTTCTGTGCTTCTAGGCCAACTGTCTTTTGCTACCATTCTCCATCCAAAGCAAGTCAAACAGCCAACCTTAGAGTCCTACAAGCAAAGTCATGCCATTTTACCAAATAGGTATGCCGAGGCTGGGCACAGAGAGGCTCATAGTAGGTACCTTGCTATACCCTGGCACCCAGCTCTTTTACCAAGTTCTCCACACCTCATAATGAGTGACCCAGGTCTTCTACTGAGTGCCCCAAATCTTCTAATGGGTTCCCCAGGTCTGCTAATGAGTGCCGCAGGTTTTTTTAAGGAGTTCCCAAGGTTTCCTAATGAGTTCCCTAGGTCTTCAATCCAGTGCCACAGGTCTTCTAATAAATGAGCCAGGTGTTTTACCAGGTTCCCCAGGTTGTCTCAGGTTTTTTACTGAATTCCCCAGGTCTTTTACCAGATGTCCCATGTCTTCCACCAAGTGCTCTAGGTCTTCTACCTAGTGACAAAGGTCTTCTACCAAGTGTTCCAGGTCTTCTCTCAAGTGTCCCGGGTATTCTATCAGTACCCCCAGCACTTCTACCAAGTGGCCAAGATCTTCTACCAAGTGCCCTAGGTCTTTTTCTAAGTGCCCCAGGTCTTCTACTAAGTGCCCCAGGTCTTCTACAGAATGCCCAGGCCTTCTACTGAATGTAAAGAATAGATTGCTCTAATCTCTGAACTGCTCAATACTAAGTGTATCAATGATCGCTATAAGCAGAATAAAAGACTTCATTACCCTCCAAATCATCCTTCCCGCTCACACATACATCTTTGTTATAAAGTAATAAAATAAAAAGTATAAGAAGTATAAAGTACTCTAACATATAGACTTCTCTGCCCTCATACAGTATGTGGTCATGCATGATCACTCTACTTATTACTTTCATGATCCAAGTTTCCCTCTCATGTCTGGCTGTGGACTCAAACTAATGGCCTTTGGCAATCCAATAACCACTTTGGTGGACAAACGAAACCCGCTTCTCCTCATGCAATATAAAAAAGAACTTTATTGTTAAAAAGCAAATCACAAAAGATGTTCCCTTGCTAGAAGCCCAGTACTTTATGGTCAAATGATGGGTCCATGGTCCTTTCTGTGTTTCTCAAAAGGGACCACTTTCAAATATACCCAACTGTGAGTTCACGGTGCATGATTTCACCAACAAGCATTCAAATATAGTACAGCGAACTGTACTAGCTATGGAGAAATCTGTTCTTGGTAATGACACAGTTTACCATTAATCTATAAAACATTTTTTGAAGATGCATTTAGCTAACTGGTACAAATTTCCAAATTGCAAATAATTTATGCTGCTCTAAGTCTACATTAATACTTTTACATTCGAAAAAATCTCGCTTGCTGAATCTTTTGGGGAAGCTTCCATCAACAAGTATCTTCTCTCAGGATCGCACAGTAACACAATTAAAACAACCTAAAATGCATCTGAAAAGTGCCACATTTAAAACAATGAATAAAATCCACAAATGTGCACAATGCAATGGGGTTTTTTTTTTTTTTATCAACAAATTGTCTAGTTTTCACCAATTTACACTTCATTCACCACTGTGACTACAACTGAGTCCTCAAGCTCTATGTACTTATCTAATTTATTTATTTCAGGTACTTATATAGCGCTGTCAATTTACGCAGCACTTTACATATATACTGTATATTCACATCAGTCCCTAACCCTCAAGTGACTTACTTTCTAAGATTTATCATAAAGCCTCCACCTATTATATTAACAATCTGGATCTTGCCTGTATTTTGTGCCCTATGTTATTCCCATGACTCTCCATCGCAAAACTGACATTATCAGGCTAAAAGTATGTGAAAACTCTCCAAATTATTGAGATCAAGGGTTTCCAGTGAAGGGTTGACAATACAGCATACAAAGACATTATAGACAATTGCACTCTTCCAATCTTGTGGTAACAGTTTGGTACGGCCCTTTTCTGTTCCAGAATGATTGTTCCCCTGTGTACACAGTCAGCTACATAAAGACATAGTTTGACCAGTTTGGAAAAGAGGAACTCGAATATTGTGAACAGAGCCCTGACCTTAACCCTACTGAACACCTCTGGGACAAACTGGAATTCCAGTTGTGAACCAGGTTGTGACAGGAGTCACTTTGGTTGGGGGGGTCGATGGAACCCAGCTCCCTTTGGAGAGGTGGGGAGACCCCTGTCTCAGCTACCCATATACCTCTTATGTGTAAGGAACCCTGTGCCTGTTAGGGGTTCAGGGTGATCTGTCCTAATATTGGGGTGGGGGGTTGTTGATTGTTTAATGCCATGTGGTTGCATCCCATTGTTCTATTGTGTCTGGCTTGGGAACAAACTATTATGGGATGTATGTGTTTATGTGTATTAGCTTAGTGGGGGGTGTCTCCAGCAACCCTCCCTCCTGATGGGACTGTCTGTTGGTGTGTCTCTTGTTACTAAATGTAGATTGCCCTGCCCTGTGTCATTATGCAGGGAGGAGGGATTGTCCCCTGAGTGTATATATCTTGTATCTGTGTTAAAATAAACTAGTCTACTTCCTGGTTTACTTCAAGACTGGTGTCGTCTAGTCTTGTTTGGTCGGCTATGGTGTCCGTGGTTGGTGTTTGGACGGGGAAGCGGTATTCTAATGGAAGTGCCCAATCGCAGACTGGGGTCGGTTCCGTTACACAGGTCTTCTCATCCAACATCAGTACCTGACCTCACAAATGGACACCCTCCGAAATCTTGTGGAAAGCCTTTCCAGAAGCGTGCAAGAGGTTTTAGCCACAAAGAGGGCAAATCCATATAAATGGCCATGGTTTTGGAATGGGTGTTCAACAAACTCATATAGGTGTGATGATCAGGCTTCCACATACTTTTGGCCATAAAGTGTATCCTAAAATCAGTGAAATCTATTTCTTTTCTTTGGCATTGAGATTTTACCTTGATTCAATGTCTTGGTATTGGTGTTGGGATAAAGAAAATACAGTTTTTAGCTGGAATAATCTGGCTTTCCACCAGGTCTCAAGAGAAGATTTCCTTAAGGTTTTGGATAAGTTCCAGCTCCATCTCACTGGGGAGCAGTTGGGTCATTTCCTCGCTCGTTGTGGTTTAGATGAGAATTCCTCTGATGTGGACTATGTGGACTTTCTACAACGTACTCAGACAAGAAGGAAGAGCGGAAGAACTCACAAAATCCTGAGCAAGGAAAACAGGTGGGGTCACAATTAGTAGAAATATTTGAGTGGTGTAAACGGAGAATCTATAGGATATGTAGACTGGAGCTGAATTAAATTGCAAAAGGCTGTGTAGTAGATAGATGGTTTATATCAATATTCCAGCAAAAGAAGAGTTACCTTCTAACAATAAAGGCTCAGTCCACCCAAAATCTGGTTGGTAGTCACCCCCTGCCTTCCTATTTGTCTTGGATACTCGGACAATCAGACCACCCTGCCCAAATTTTCAACACTGTACTTGGCCAGCTGGGAGTTTTGAGTGTTCCAGCTCTTCCTGTTACATTCTCTATGGTTTAAAACTGGGGTCCCCAAACTTTTTAAACAAAGGGCCAGTTTACTGTCCTTCAGACTTTAGGGGAGCCGGACTGTGATTAGTGGGAATAAAAAAATGACATTGTGCCCCATAATGGGTATTAGTGGTAGGAATAACACCTTATTATCGATATCAGTGGTTGTAATAGTGCCCCATCGTCAGTATCAATGGAAAGAATAGTGTCTAATCATTGGTGTCAGTGGAAGGAATGGTGCCCCATCATTGGTATCAGTGAGAGGAATGTTTCATCATTGGTGTCAGTGGAAGAAATAAAAACCCAAAGTCTGTATCAGTAGAAGGAATAGTGTCTTATCATTTGTGTCAGTGGAAGGAATAAAACCCCAAAGTCTGTATCAGTAGAAGGAATAGTGTCTCATCATTGCTATCAGTGGAAGGAATAGTTCCCTATTGTTGGTGTCAGGGGGAGGAAAAGTGCCTAATCATTGGTGTCAATAGTGCCCCATCGTCAATATCAATGGGAGAAATAGTGCTCCATCATTGGTGTTAGTGGAAGGAATATTGCCCCATCATTGGTGTTAGTGGAAGGAATATTGCCCCATCATTGGTATCAGTGGGAAGGAATAGCACTTCATATCTGTGGGTGAAATTCCCAAGGGCTAGATAAAGGCATGCACTGGTTTACATAAAGAAAAATCCAGCAAGGATGGTGGGAGCCCCTCATAATGGGCCCAGCAGACATAGGACCACACCGCAGGGATGGTGGAAGCCACTTTTTGTATTGAATAGGGGGGGGGTAACGATTTCATTCTTTGAAGAAGCTTGTCATTTTCATTCCACAGTCAGAATGTGATGAAATTCTGAAACATTTTAGTAAATGGATTTTAAACTGACAAAGCTTTTCTGATATGCTCAGGTCTGCACACAGACTCTCTGTAAACTCAGCGTCCACTACCAGGGCCCTGGAGGAGAAACTGCTGCATTATTTCCATGCTGACTTCAGCGCCCTCCTGGATGAGTTCAGGTGAGTGTGTATTTTTAAAGCTGAACTTCAGGCAGATATAAATGACAATTACAGCTCTGTAATCATTAATACATCATTACTTGTATTTTTAAATGCAAGAAATCTAATTACCTGAATGTGACTTGGTATCAGCTTATGTACAGCAGGGCTGGAGTGTGAGAGGAAGACGCAGTACAAGCAGCCAGTCAGTTCATATGCTGACAAGGAGCATGCTGGTAGGAGGAGAGATCAGAGTGACAGAGAGATGAACTCATCACTGTGCTGCTTTTCCTGCTACTGTCCGGTCATGGGCTAGGGGGGGAGAGTCCATGAGGACCTGGGCTCAGAGGAAGTAGGGTTGAATGATGCTGGCAATCAGACTGAGGGCATCTAGTAGCACAAACTACTGTAGGGAAATCTCTGGACTGAAGGTGAATATTGTAACAAAAGCTGTTTTGTTATTTTATCGTTCAAGAATTCTATTCTTTCAGAATTGCATTCTTTTGATTTTTTTGTTTTTGGCTGGTGTTCTGCTTTAAAGTAAATGTAAACCCTAACTGGATGACATTTAATGTGCATGGGTGTTGTGTTACACTATTTATTATTATTTCTCTGTGACCATCACTTGTTTATCATTGCTCTATGTCTTTAGGCTGTCTCCTTCTGTCTAAGGTGAGCTCTTTCTCTCACCGTACTTGCGTATACTCCTCCCCCTGCCTCTCTCTGTAATCATTCCACTGTATCCTGTCTTCCTGAATACATCTTCCATGAGGCTTACAACATTAACGTTTTTCTACCTATGAATATTCGCCATTAAACGGAAGATTCAAATGGGTTTCCTCATCTGGCTTCCTCAACATGTGAGTTTATTCATTGAGTTAAACTATCTGACCCGATGCAAGGGATAAATTCAACACCATGTGGTATAGCTGTATACATCATAGGAGATAAGGTTTATCATCCTGTAGTTGAATCAGAATAATGGGTTTTGCAGAGCAGATTTCCCTGATGGTGGTAACAGCAGAACATGCCTGTGTAATGTGCATTGAAACGGACCACTTGTAGTCTCCATCGAAAGTTCATGTGACATGGTGACAACGCAGGAGCACAATTGGAAGACCATGTGTTGTCACGCATTGCGGAATTCAATGTGGGTGCATTGCCTTTAGTGTGTTTGGGGTGCCATTCAGGATGATGGCTATGGGGATGTTCTCCTGACTAGACCAAGCTAATACAACTTATCCAATCATGTTCACTGTAAGAAGATTCAAGTCTCAATCCAATGTGTTTCGCTTTCCCCTAGGAAGGCCGATACCAACAACCTGGGTGTAATCAGTCAGCAAGACTTCAGAGGAATCCTGGAGAGGAGGTAATTTATACAGTGAAATGTATTTATATCAAATCAAAGTGATATTAAACCCTCATTTGTTTCACCCCTTCATGACAACCGCCTCCCGGCCTTTTACAAAAGGGGACGGGCGTCCGGATCATGTACCCATTGTGATTGGCTGTCACAGTGGTCACATGATTGGAAAGTTCCTGATCACAAGTATGTATCGGGAGCTTACCAATCCCTGCCAGAGCACAGTAAATTGCTTACACAAAGCCAGATATACAGTATGTGGCAACTGGGCATTAAGACCCACCCGCCGAGCGGCCACAAAGGTGTGTCCAGTCGGCACAAAGAGGTATAACACTTCAGCAGTTGATTTTAATCGCTTACTGAGTATGCAGCTTTTTTATCCTAGTATACTTTTTGGTAAAACATAAAAGATGATATTATGCCGAGTAGATAGACACCAAACATGTCACGCTTTGAAACTGTGCACGTGTGACAAACTTGGATACATTAAATTATCTATAGGCGACACTTTAAAAGCCTTTACAGGGTTACCAGTTTAGAGTTCCGCAGGAGGTCTGGCCTTAGATTTATTGCTCTCGCTCTGATGTTCGCGGGAATACCTCACATGTGGTGTGATCACTGTTTACATACGTGTACAGGAATGACGCATGCATTCACCTTTGTGTGTGAGCACGGGGGGACAGGGCGCTTAACATTTATTCTATTATTATCTATTTTATTTTTTACTTTTTACACTGGACCTTTAATTTATTAATCACTTTTATTGCCATCACAAGGGATGAACAACATCGTTTGTGATGGCATGGGCCGTGACAGGTCCTCTTTAGGGAGAGATCTGGGGTCTATGAGACCCCGGAGTTATCCTCTGGCCTCTAAAGCATCAGTGGCTTGTTTACAACAAACCAAAAGCGGAAGTGATGAAATCCAATGTGCAGAATCGCTAGATGTAAAAAACGATATCGAGATCATGGTCGTAGCCTCAACCATGATCCCGGTATGACCACCTCTATACCAGGACTAGGGGCGGACTGACCATTCAATCACTCTGGCACTGCCCGAGGGCCCGGGCTCAGTAGTGGGCCCCATGAGATGCCCCTGGTACCTTTCATTGGCTTTTTCATAGGCTTTTTTGGGTGTGGGAAAGGACACAGGGGCCCCATGATCCCCTATTGCCCGGGGGCCCCATGAGTTGTCAGTCCACCCCTGACCAGGACATATATATATATATATTTATATTTATATACGGTGGTATTAAGATGATTAATCCTTGCCTATGTTCCAGTTTAGGGTGGTGCCATAACTGACCGCTGCCCCAGGTTTACAGTTTCAGGGTGGCTCCTTTCTCTTGCAGCATCTTATGGAGCCACCCTTGCATGTCGGGACTAGAATTGTCTCCCTACACTGTGTGCATCAATAGAAGCACATAGCCCCATAGCCTTGGATGCCAAGGCACTTCCGTGTGCTGGACTGCACTGCCCCCTGTTATCCATTTCCTGTGAAGACTGGAAGTTCAGGGAAGCAGTACTGAGAGGTCAGGAGCCAGAAGTATTGAAAGCTGTAAACTGCAAGTGCTGGGGTAGGAACTTTACCAAAGAATAAACTGATAAATGTTTATTCTGCCGTGCTCTCAATGTGATAAGCTAAAAAAACGCAGAGAATTTAATACCACTTTAAGGAAACCTGTCATATAACGGCAATGTTAGATATCCCATTGATAATTAAACCACTTGCCACCCGCCCTATAGCAGAAGTACTGCTACAGGGCAGAACGGCTGCGCAAAGTCACGTATATACAGTATACATAATTTGCAGTTCTGTGTAGGAGGCGCGTGCGCGCACACCGCCCTACCCGCGCAGCTATTAGACGTCAATCACCAGATCCCGGCCGGTGATTCTTGGCCGGCACTTGGCGATCATTGGTAAAGCTGATAGGGGAGAGACCTGTATGTAAACAGTGGTCTCTCTCCTGTCAGCATGGACATGCAGCTTTGTATCCCTCTGCACAACAGAGATAAAAAACAGCCAGGGGCGGACTGACCATTTGGAAACTCGGGCACTGCCCAAGGGCCCAGGGTCAGTAGGGGGCCCCATGAAATGCCCCTGGTACCTTTTTCATAGGCTTTTTTGAGTTTGGGCAAGGACACAGGGGCCCCATGATCCCCTATTGCCCGGGGGCCCCATGAGTTGTCAGTCCACCCCTGAAAACAGCATGTCTCCAAAGTAAAACAGCACACGGCACAAATGCATCACAATGCGCATCACAGCATCACAATGTGTTACAGCGCCCCCTGGCATGTATGTGTTGCTTCTTCTTCGTATACCTACATTTTTCCAATGTCTTCAGGCCGGTCACATGACAAACACGGTCCTCTTCCTCCTCAGTCTTTTCCTTCCGGCCCCATGAGGTCCTCAATTATGGAGAAAGCGGAGCTGATGCATGGAGTGTAAAAAGGTTAGAACCCCTGTCAGATTTTTATTGCTGTCTGTGGCAAACCTTCACCTTGTATCCCAATAAAAAGTGAAGGGAGGTTGACAGCTATTGACATAAAAGTGATGGAAATTCTCCAAACAAGTATCAATAAAAAGGTGACCAAGGCTCTAACCCTTCCCAGCTGTGGCTAGAGTTACACTTTAAGCTGTTACTTGGAGAAGGTATTCCTCTAAGACTGGTTCACTTTAGGCCTCTCCCAGCTCTGATCCAGAAGACCTCATGTTCTGTGTTTCTGCTCCCAGGTTCTACATCAAGGTGACAGATGAAGAATTCGCCTACTTACTGGAGAGAATTCCAGTCGATCATCATGGAGCCATCAGATACCTGGACTTCATGGCCAAGTTCAATAGCAGGTAAAGAATGAAATGGCAAACCAGCCCTGAGAGATAAGAGATCGCTGTCAGCAGACAAGACTTTTGATTGGCAGATGAAGAGCATTTTATCTACTGGATATATATTTATGGCGATTAATACAAAGTATCCATTGTTACAGAGAATGGTGAGACACTGCCCTCTACTGGTCAAACTCAAGCATGACAGTTCAAACTTTTTAAACTTTTTAATTTTGAAAGTCATATTTCTAAAATACTGATAGACTCTGCAATGGCTATGGGTTTTTTTCCTTTCTTCTGGATCAGCTGGAGATAAGGGTTCTGTATATGCAGGTTTTAAATCTGTTTAATTATCAATTTTTTCCTATTGTTTGAACTCAATGGACCATTTTTTTTCAGCCTATGTAACGATGTAACATCATACTTTAAAGGGAACCCAAGTGATAGAAATGTGTGATCTGACTTTGGGGCTGTGATCTTCATCCCACCTTCAATACTCACTGAATCACTGACACAGAATGGGAATTCAGACTTTTCACTGGCTGCATGCTTTGTGCCATATCACTGTGTAGCAAAGACAGGATCTCTATGACAGCCCCAAAGCCTAAGCCTTTAAAGTGGATGTAAAGACAATACCTAAATTCTTAGGTAAGCTTCAACACCTTAATGTCATTTCAAAAACCATTTCCAATATTTCTAAACCTGCATCTTTCATTTAAAAAATCTCTGGTATGTATTGCCTTAAACAATAAATACAGTGTACAAGGTATGCATGGCCTGTATCTACTGTAAATGGATTAAAAAAAGAATTTGAACCCTGATGATCCCGCCAGGAAAGTCTCTGTTCAGGCACTTCCTGTTATAGGGTGACACCGCTCTGTCTCTGTCTACCAATTATGCTTATGTGTTGCCACCCTGTCACACAGCTTTCTGATGGAGACTGCAAGTGGCCATTTCAACACACATCACACAGGTATGGTACACTGTTCAAAGATGTGGCAACCAAACCAATCTATAACCAGCCTTTGCAGTAAGGTGCCCATGGAAGGGCAACGCACAACACGCAACATGAGAGACTGAAAATTATAGCATTAGGACTGCAGTACACAGAGATGCCTTGGCGTAGGCACTGAGGCTTACACATATATTTCTGTTTTTAGCATAAATTGTTAGACATGGTACACTGCTGTTCCCATCAGGCAGCCATCACTGGAGTTCATATAGACAGGAAGTAAATGGAAAGAGGATGCAGGAGATCAGTAGAAGTGAGCTGAGAATGCTGTGAATACCTCCTTTTTAAAATTAAGTATAATTATAATTTATATGTGATCAGTGAATGTGCTTGCACTCACATCCATATACCACAAACAGAAACAAAGTTACTTTTCTCTAAATACAGGGATGAGAATTTGAGTCTATGGGGCGGAAACAAAACAATTCTGACCAACTGCAGCCAAAAATCGAAAAAAGTCAGTAAAGTCGGCGATAAGGGGAAGAGTGACAAAGCACAAGTGAGGAATGTGGAGCAGGTAAAAAAAGAACACCATTTTTTTTTCTGTATATACGAATATACACAGTACTGTGCAAACGTTTTTATGCAGGTGGGAAGAAATGCTATACAGTAAGATTGGTTTAAAAAAAAATATATATATTTTAATTGTTTTTATCAATTTACAAAATGCAAAGTGAGCGAACAGAAGAAAAGTCTAAATCAAGATACTGTTTGGTTGGACTACCTTTTGGCTTCAGACCTGCATCAATTTTTACATGAAGTCAAAAATCCTGACTTAGAGTCAGTTGTATGATTTAAAATAATCAATTAATAAAATAAAAAATATTATATTATTACCTCTCCCTAACTAGGGAGCCAAAAAATGGTTGCTACAGTCATCACCGACTTGCCTTATTGAACATGGTGGGGTCCTCAAAAACCAAAGTACAGCGAAAAAGATGTTGGGGGATCCAAGAGACCCCCTAAAAAAAAAAAAGAGGTTTAAAAAGAGAACCAACAGCGGTATGAATAAAACCAACAGCTTTGTTGAATTCACAAAAAGGTAATAGACCTATTAGGCCAAATAGATCCTCTATTCACATTAAAATAAAGTATGATAACATTATCACCTTAAAATGACCCGGGCCACACACAGTATGAATTAATTGTTATACAACTACCTTCCGTCTTATACAGGGGCGGACTGACAACTCATGGGGCCCCCAGCAATAGGGGATCATGGGGCCCCTGTTTCCTTGCCCAAACTCAAAAAAGCCTATGAAAAAGGTACCAGGGGCATCTCATGGGGCCCCCTACTGACCCCGGGCCCTCGGGCAGTGCCTGAGTTTCCAAATGGTCAGTCCGCCCCTGCTGATGAGTATCAGGAACCTTCCGCAGCATCGATCCAGCATACTGTTGGATTCTGAGTGTCATCAGATAGAACCTGCAAGTCTGACCTTTATCTCAGGTCTAGGGAAACCTAAAGTGTTACTAAACCCACAACAGTACAATCAGTCTGTATATGCACTAAAGCACGCTTGTTATACTCACTGTGGAACCTAAGGGGTTAATCCTTTGCATTGTGTAAAAAGGCTGTTTGATCCTGTCTTCTCTGATCCTCTCCTTCTTCTACTGTCCCCAGTGCATCTGCCATAGTACAGAGCAGCAGTGGCAAGTCTGCACATGCTCAGTTTGGTGTGTATTGCTAGAGAGTTTTTTTTATTTTTGGGAGAGTGCATATGATCAGCACAGGGTCAATCATAAGAGCAATACTAATGAGTCGATTATATCCAGAGTCTCATGCATCGGGAGCACCTGTATTCAGCCACTGGGACAAGTAACAGAACTCTGGAAAATGAGTTCTGTTACTTGCCCCAGTGCCTGAATACTGCACTGGGGCCAATGGGACTTGTAGTCTACCTATTCAGCAATCTATGAATGGATGACGTGGCTGTGCTGTGAAAGGTGGACTGTGCCTTTAAGTAGGGTCCCCATTAAATCCTATACCTGACCAGGCATAGCCTAAGAAAGGGACCCAGCAGAATCCTCTATAGGGGACATTTGCAACTATCAGTTAACCTGTACATTGATGGAGAAGATAATGGACTCCACTCTGTCCAATTACTAGCGGAATGGATTTCTTTTCCTCACTCAGTAGTTTTGTGGTGTAGCCGCAAAAAAAAATGTATAATTCTAGAAAAGGCAAAATGTTGAAGATCAAACAAATTAAAATAGTAAAGTTCTAATTTCAGCATAAAATGTCATCATTTTTCAGCTTACTGGAGTCATCAAAAATCTTGTTAAGAATAATTATGAATTTCTGGAAAGGAATTTCAATGAGATGGATCCCATGAATACCAGGAGGATGACAGCAGAGAGCCTGTACCAGCTACTGAAAAGGTAAATCCACCATCCGGTCAGTATCTGGGTCTTCAAAAAAAAATCCTTATGGTGATACATTGTTTCAAGATATTACTTTAAGTTCTTAAAGGGGAAATCCATGTCTGAGGAAATTGATCTGCACAGGCGTGGATCTAAACTGTCTTTGTCACAGCTGCCTACTATATAAAGATGAGTGACCCAGTTTGCCAGATTGCCAGTCAGATTGGATGAACTGGTTGACAATAAAGGATCACTTGCCAGAGGTACCCCACCTCCATAGTATAGTTTTATTACCTGCTGGTCCTTCCAGTAGATCCATTATTTTTTTCACTTCCTGTAACAGGCCAAGCTATACAGCAAAAGTGAGAGTTACATGAAATGAACCGTAAAACACTGCTGGGGGTGCTTACAATGGTCATCTTTTATTTGTATGGTTTTGAACCCAAAACAAATAAAATGTTTCTGTAACAGTTTAAAAAATGTTTGCTGGCATTGGGTTTTAATTGGTATGTCTTTTACTTAAAGTTCATTACCAATGTTCTGCCTATATAATACTAATAAGACTACCATATCCATAGGGTGACAACGGTGAAGACTGATTTCACTGCACTAGTGTGGGGGCATAGTATTAAAAAATAACTACCATGGGACACGTTATTAAAAAATGCCTGCCATGGGGGACATGGTATTAAAAAATACTTGCCATGGGGGACATGGTATTAAAAAATACTTGCCATGGTATACATGGTATTAAAATACCTATCATGGGGACATGATATTAAAAAAATGCCTGCCATTGGGGCCATGGTATTAAAAAATACCTGCCATGAAGAACATCATAATAAAAAAATACCTGCCATGGGGGACATTGTATTACATAAATACCTGTCATAGGGATCATGGTATAAAAAAAACTACCTGACCATGGTGGACATGGTATTAAAACCTGTCATGGGGGACATGATATTAAAAATACCTGTTATGGGGGACATAATATTATAAAATGCCTGCCATCGAGATCATGGTATTAAAAATACCTGCCATGGGGTACATGATAATAAATAAATACCTGCCATGCGGATCATGGTATTACATAAATACCTGACATGGAGAACATGATATTAAAAAATACCCACCATGGGGCTCAGTATTAAAAATACCTGCCATGGGGATCATGGTATTAAAAATACCCGCCATTGGGGACATGGTTTTAAAAAATACTTTTCAGTGGGGAAGGGATCTTTTCATGTTGTTTAGAGGGTAACATTGAAACTTCATAAATCCTTTAAATGCCCTAAAGCTGCAAGTGGTGTTATGGAACAGTAAGATGTAGTTCTTAAAAAAAAAGCTGGGAATTCAGATGCTGCAAATTGCACATTAGAAGGTTCTGGGTTCGCGATTAATTCATGTTTGACCCAAATCCAAGCCTCATCCCCAAAAACTAGCTGTTACCAAGAATATATGACAAAGCCTGTTTCCTATTCTAGATGTGGTATTCATCCAGAAATGTCCAGAGAGGAGGTTGGTAAGGTCTGGAGAACGCTGATCCAGAATCAGGACCAGACAGTGGATTACTTCCAGTTCGTCAGACACTTTGGCTTTTCCATCAAATCCTCGTGTTTTCTCAATGCTAAAATCTCTCCACCAGTCAGAGGTGATGGTGACTGCCTGATTCGCTCTCTAAAACTGAATTCCGACACCAAGATCATCGCCAATTTCCTGCAGACCAAGGTAAGAGAAGCAAGCCCAGCATCAGTGTTGTTAGTACAATTGTGTTTCTGGACTTTCTGCTGTGGAATCTATCCTGTTTACTATGAGTAGCAGGACTTACCAATATTGAATAGAAGCATTGTGACCAATTTATGGTCAACTGCTATTCAGTGAAGCAAGAGACTCCTGCACCTCAAGGAGAACTTTAAGCTGAGGTGCAGAAATGTATGAGATGCGGTCATGTGATGTCCTAAATACCATTTATCTCTGGATTCAGTTTTTCATGCCTTGACATATTCTCCACCTTATGTTTGATTTTTAGTGCTAAGTAATATCAGTATTGAGTGATAGCTGTCACCAACTTGAAAGTTCTGATTCATCTCATCTAAATTCCTAGTATGGCTTCATTATGGCTTCTATCTGTGAACCTCTTACATAATTATTTGCAAATAACTTTCAAAAACGTAAGAGAGGAAGATTATAAAAATTAAGAGATAATCAGAAAGAACGAAAAGAAGAATGTAAGAGAGAAAGGAAGAGAGATAGAGAAAGGAAGAAAGAGAGACAGAAAGAAAAAAAAAGGGAGAGAAATGGAGAAAGAAAGAGAAGTAGAAAGAGAAAGGAAGAAAGAAGAAAAAAAGGGAGAGATAGAAAGAGAAAGGAAGAGCGAGAGAGAGAGATAGAAAGAGAAAGGAAGAAAGAGGTAGAATAAGAAAAGTAGAAAGAGATAAAAAGAGAAAGGAAAGAAAGAGAAGGAGAAAGAAAGAGAGAGAAAGAAAAAAAAAAAGCAAGAGAGAAAGAAACAGAGATAGAAATAAAGAGAAGTAGAAAGAGAGATAAAAAGAGAAAAGAAAGAGAGAGAAATGACGAAAGAAAGAAGTAGAAACACAAAGGTAGAAAGAAAAAAAAAAAAAAGCAAAAAGAGAGAGAGAGAAAGAGACAGAGAGAGAAAGGACGGAAGAACGAGAGATAGAAAGACAAATAGATAATAAGAAAGAAAGAAAAAAAGAGCGATAGAAAGAGAAAGGAGAAATGAAACATAGAGAGAGAAAGAAAGAAAGTGCAGTAGAAAGAGAAAGCACAAATGAAAACGAGATAGAAAGAGAGATAGAGAAAGGATGAAAGAAAGAGAGATAGAAATGAAGAGAGAGAGAGAAAAAGAATCTATGTAATTGTGTAAACAGGTGTCAAAGATCACCAAAATTTGTATCAAAATGTTTATTTTCAAGGATAATCAGCTCCATCTACTGTCCATAGTGCATTATTTTCCTCAATCAGGAAAATACTGTATTATTGCCACTAGATGGCGATTACAATCCTAGGAAATGAACATATTAAGCAAATTATGGTGAAGATTTGTAAGGGCTTTGCAAATGATTGACACATTCGCACTGAGAGGGAGGAAGTTAGAGAGAGAGTGGGACAGAAGGAAAGAGAAAAAGAGGGAGAGAGAGTGGGAGGGAGAGAGTGACAGAGTGGGAGGGAGGGAGAGAGAGAAAGAGAAAGAAGGAGCGAGAGAGAGAGAGAGAGGGGGAGAAAGAAAGGGATAAAGTAAAATGAGAGAAGTAAAGATAGAAATAGACAGAGATAGTAAAAGAGAGTAATACAGAATCAGAGAATAAAGGTATCTACAGGCACTAGATGGAGCCACCCCAGCATGCACAATCCGCCCACTGAGCGATGGTTTCCACAAGTTCAAATCGGGAAGTGAGCAGGGTTTTTTTCAGACCTCTGTGCCCTGTCACACTTTAACACTCCACATTTAAAAGATTCATAAAAGTGCTTTTGTTTTCAGTGGTTCAGTACACATTTGTTTCCCTTGTAGTGACATATTAAAAGAACTCTCATGAACATTTAAATACAGCTCCATAAGCTCATGTATAAATACCTGTCTTTGTCTCTCCAAGGAAATGCTAATGAGTTGTAAAGAAAATCCCTTCTTTACTGCTTCCATTTCTAGCTGTCAGCTCCTCCCCTGCCACAAACCCAATTTGTGATCTTTCCTTTTGCTGAGCTCAGGCAGTGAGTTCAATTGTCACTGCCAACTGTTCAGTGAGTGCACCTGTGGGGAGCTCCTGTCGGAAGCAGCGATGTAAACATCGATCATTCCTCCAAGCTGCTCATAGCCATGCTCCGTGACTATTGCATGCACTACTACGCCCAGTTCCCCTGTCCTACCCCTTGATACTTGATAGATGACTTGATACAGACCTGCGACAAACAAACAAAAAAAAAATCACATTTTTATATTAACCTCCCTAGCGGTCTGATTATGTCCATATTTCTGTGCTCAAAGCGGTACATTATTTTTGCATGGAAATATGTTGTTTTTTTATTGTAGGCCTGTAATTTTTAGGAATAACTCACTGAAATCTGTCCGAACAAGAGTCTAGTAAACATCCCGGGTAGGATAAAATTTGAAACGCGAAATCATAAATGATAATATAATAAATAAGCATAAAAAATATTAATATAGTAATAATAAATTTAATTCAATAATATAATCAAACCAAAAACACTGAAATTTGAAATATAGCGCCAAGTTCGCACATCACTGAGCAAAGTCACAAAATTGTTTTCAGTGTCTGATGACGAATTTCCCCCACAAATCATTATCACTCAATTCTGCAAGTGGTTCTGATTTACTATGGCTGTTCTCTAGCCGGTCTAAAACCGCTTTTGACCTAAAGGGACGCTTTTTGGACGCCATGGACATTTCTCAGTTTCCAGGCAGAAAGAACAGTACAAATGCAGGCAGGGCGCAGGACAAAGCACTCGGGACAAAATGTATGTGAAATGGTTTGAAACAGCAATGTTATACTATGTGATTTTAGTGTATTTAGTGAATGTCACTTTTTAAATTTTTTAATTTCCCGCCGGTTCCGTCCCCCGTATGTACTGACCAGGGGCGGACTGACAACTCATGGGGCCCCCGAGCAATAGGAGATCATGGGGCCCCTGTGTCCTTGCCCAAACTCAAAAAAGCCTATGAAAAAGGTACCAGGGGCATCTCATGGGGCCCCCACTGACCCCAGGCCCTCGGGCAGTGCCTGAGTTTCCAAATGGTCAGTCCGCCCCTGGTACTGACGCTCGCAGGGAATGGAACCCGGAAGACAGATGCTGGCATCGGCCAGAGGAGATGGCCGGGGACGCTGCAGGGGGGACATCGTGGGAGCGCAGGACAAGGTAAGTGCAGAAGGGATCCCAGAGCAACGCTGCAGGGTAATCCCAAGTGTAGCTCGGGGTTACCGCTTTTGGTACTGAAAGTTAACCCCGAGCTACTCTCAGGAATACCGTCAGGGAGGTTAAAGCAGTATTAAACCAAAAATAAAAAATGTAATATATTGCAGCCTACCAATCATTACATGTGTTGTCTGCATTCGTTTCCTTCTTTTTTTTTTCTTTTCTCCCTCTGTTTTCACCTAGTAACACACCTTATGTATTAGAGCACCCACTCTGGATGTAGGAGCACAGTGACACCTTTGGACAGCAGCATTGTCTGTGGGGAGGGGATTATTAGATGCACTAGCAGATTTAGATACACTAACAAACTGAATCCAAACTCCAGCTCACACTGCAGTTACACAAGCAGTATTTTAATTTTGGGATAAAGGTTTTACATAAATAAATAAAACTGATAATTTTAAGCACCTCTGTCAGTGTTGAATGGTGTGTCTTATCCCTGTAAACTGACACAGCTGGAACAGAGCTTGTTCTTTTTGAAAAAACAATAGACTTTCTGGCCAGATCACCAGATGAAAATATAGGAATGAGAGAAAAAAGAAAACAAATGCAGTCATCACATCTAAGAATTGGTAAGCTGCAATATAATGTTTGCTTTTGGGTTTAATATTGCTTTAATTATTAAAAAATGCCTTTTATTTAAAAACATTTTTCAGTAGGTGTCATTAGCCTTCATCAGCAGCAGATATAAATCAGGACTGCTGGCTGGCACGGAGCTGTGTAAATCTCAATCTGGAAGGACAAAAATATATCCATTGGAGTTTTCGACTTTAAAAGCCTGTTCCAGTGGATTTTCTTTGAAATCTTGCTAGCCATGAATTCCATGAATTTATCGAGGCATAGATCATCCAGCTATCTGTTTTTCTTCCCTGAGTACTAAACCAGTCTCTGTGCAAGGCAAATATACAATATTAGCTGCCCCTGTCCATAGACTTCCAGAGTTCCCATGATATAGGGATAGCCCATCCATAAATTGATAGAAACCTTGTATCTTCCGAGACAGTGTTCCCATTTCATCCACAATTAGTCTGCTCCAGAGAAAGAGGACATAGGAGGACAATGGGCCCAGTGTGCGAGGAAGACATTGACGGGCCAGCTAATGGAGCTGAGAATAAAGAGCCCCGATCCTAATCGTGGAGAGCTTTTATTTGGCTGTACGGGTTAAGGTGGGAAATCGGAGAAGGAGATGTTATAGACCCCAATGTTATATAATGAGCGACAGGACTCAATGGAGCTGACTGCGGAGCTAATCATGTTTGTAAGTGGACCGCTGTGGCGCTTTGTCCTGTAAATGTGGATCGCTCAGCGATACATTAACTCTGAAACTCCCAGTCAGTTCCAGTAAAACTGTTTAGACTGGGGATATTCTGAAACTTGTGAACAAAATTTTGATACAGAATTGATACATCAATCTGTTATTTTTAATGATTAACAAATAGTGCCCTTTAAAGAGTGATCTAAACAATGGCAGAACTACCAGGGTCACAAAGGTCACACTTATGACCTGGTCCTGGCATTCAGCAGCTTGGAGGGGTCACAAGACGTCAGGAAGGGGGCCAGCTGCAGAACATGTGAAAGTGTCCCTCTGTGGGGCCATAATAAAGGGCCCCATGAAGAGAGTAAATCAGTGGGAAGGGCTCTGGCCTTGGAGGGAAGGGCCCTGGGACCAATGGAAAAGGTCCTAGGATCAGTGGGAAGGGACCAAAGACCAATGGCAAGGGCCCCAATCCCAATGGAAATGGCTCAGAAATGGGTCAGAGGGCCCTTCGTGCTTTCTT